TCCCCCCAACCCCCCCCCACCACCCCCCAAAAAACCCCCCCCCCCCACCCCCCCCTCACCCCCCTCCCCACCACCCCCCGCCCCCTCCTCCTCGCCTCCCGCTCCCTCTTCGAAACCGCCGCCCTAACCGCCATCCGCGCCAAAGACCCCGAGGCATTCACGCGCTACGTGCACCTCCTCGAGCCCTTCTACAACCTGCCCACCAATGTGTTGTCGCCTGCTGATTCGCAGAGGGCTAAGATTACGGGCTTGTTTCTGCTGTTGTTGTTGGTGAAGGGGGATTATGCGGGGTTTCATACGGAGCTCGAGGCGTTGGAGATTCAGGGCGCGGATGTGGAGGGGGATCCGTTTTTGGGGTATCCGGTTAGGTTGGAGAGGTGGTTGATGGAGGGGAGCTATGATCAGGTGTGGAAGGCGATGAGGAGTAGGGAGGTGCCGAGTGAGGAGTTTGGGATCTTTTCTGAGGTATGCGATCACCCCCCCAACCCCCAGTCTTTCTTCCCGTTTGAAAGAGCAAGATGCTGACGTTTGGCAAATAGATCCTGATCCCACGCATCCGCGCCGAAATCGCATCGTGCTCCGAGCGCGCATACCCTTCCCTCCCCGTCTCGAGCACGAAGGACCTCCTCTTCCTCGACTCCGAGGGCGCCGTGGTGCAGTTTGCCCAGAGCAGGGGGTGGGTGGTTAGAGATGGACGGATCTACTTCCCTGCACAGGCGGTGGTGAAGGCGGAGGGCGAGGAGAGGGAGATTAGTCATAGGGCGATTGAGAATACGCTGGGTTATGCGAGGGAGCTGGAGACGATTGTTTAGATGAGGGGGGTGTAATTGGGAAAGGGGGGGAGGGGGATAAAGATGATGGATGGATGAATGGCTTGCAGGGGTTTGGCGTATGGGTGTACGATCCCTTAGAGACGCATTGGGGGGGGATAAAATCGCTGCGGTTTGATCCGGATGCAATTACATGGATGGTAGAGGAGTAATTTTCATTGTTGTACCCAGGGAAAGACAGAGATATACGTCGTTCGGTGCCATTTATAACTGTGAAAATATTTTACTTCATCTGTCCAGCAGTTTTTATTTTCTTATATTTTTCGGTCCCATCCACGGATGGCAATATTATATGCCAAACTTGGATGCAACAGACATCACTCAATATTTATCTCATCGGCAGTCAAAATTACCAGCAACAAGTCAAACATAATCTAGAAATAATTGCTATATATATCCAAACATTCTGACGTCCATCCAGAAGCTCTGCCGCACAGACAGCACTAGCTAGCACCTATATCCAATCACTCTCCTCATCTGCACGAGGACAAACGCCTATCACATATCACAACTACTAACCACACAAATGCCTCCCCCTCCCATTATGCCCCCTCCTTGGACATGACCGCGCATGTAACCTCCCCCCTCGTCACGAAAGATATTTCCAACTTCCTCCTCTTCCCCTCCCCAACCCAAAACCCTCCCCTAATTAACCTCCTTCACACAACAAACCTTCCCCTCCTCCCCCACCAACGCCTCAGCCTTCGTCCCCTCCGCCGCAACCAACACGCTCTTATTCGTCGCCTGCGTACTCGGCGGGACATCAATCGCCGGGTTCCTACTGAAGAAATTCACCGGCTTCAGCGCAACCCTCATTATCTCGCACGGCATGACTGGGAAGTCCTCCACGCGGGGGACGTGGTTGATGCCAAACTGCACCCAGACTACGATATCCTTATCCTCGACGCTGTCCCCGCGCTCCGCCCAGCTACGCACGCCTGTTCCGCCGCGGGACTGGTTCGTGTAGCGACCTCCGGCGTAGAGCTCGTCGTCGCGGTGCGCAGTGACGTAGACGTTGTGGTCCGCGAATTCGGCGCGGCGGTGGTGGAAGGAGGCGGGGGAGGCGAGCATCTTCTGGAAGTTGGGAGCGTGGATCTTATACGAGACCGCGGCGCCGTTGATGGGGTTGCGGACCGCGGCATTGGCGATGCGGAAGGTGCGGTTGGTGTTGCTGTCGAGATCGAGACCGGCGGAGGTGGGAACGAGGGTCTCGTCGACGGTGTAGCCTACGCCGTGGGGATTAGAGTCCGAGACGGGCATGGGGTGCGCTTCATCGTAGACGAGGCGGTTGAGAGGGCCGTCGAGCATAGGGTCAATGCGGAGGGACATGATGTGCTGGTGGTGCGCTGCCAGGACGCCGGGGTGGACTACTGTTCCGTAGGGCACGGTGATGCCCTCGTCTATGGGTGAGGTGGAGAGGATGCCAGTGGCGCGGACTTCGTAGGCGAGTTCTCCGGCTTGGTTGAAGACGAAGGCGAGGATGTACTCGTAGTTCGCGACGGTGATGATGGATTGGATGACGAGCTCGCGGTTGCGCACGATGGCGGCGCGGCCGGTGCGGTAGTTGGTGTGTTTCCACCCGATGCCGTTGTCTTGCTCGTGGATGCAGACGACGTTGTCCATTGGGAGGGGGTCGCCGGCGGAGTTGTTCAGGATCGCGCTGACGTAGTGGATGGAGCCGAGGCAGTCGCATCCGAGTTTGAGGTTGTTGGCCATGATGCCCGCGCCGGCGTCGCCGAGGTCGAAGGCGGCTTTCTTGTGGTAGGGGTGCCGGGGGTCGGCGTAGGGGATGTTCATGTCGGAGAGAGAGAGTCTGTAGAAGAGGGGGCGGTTGTCGTAGTGGACGTCGTAGAGGACCATGCCTTCTCGAAGGTTGAAGCCGATCTTGAAGTTCCACTTCTGCCAGTCGACGGTGCGGCCGAGGTCAGAGAAGTTGCTGACGGTGAATGAGGCGCCCTCTGGTTGAACAACGTTCAGTGGCTTGAGGTCGGTGCGGAGAGTCTGGGCCTCTGGGATATACTCATTGGCTGGATGCACCTTGTATGGGCCAAGCTCCTTGATGGTAGCATCTGCTCCAGTGGGAAGGACGTCAATTCTGATGACCTTCATTGTCTCGGCACAGATGACGGGCGAGATGGGGAGGGGCATGGCGTAGTGGTTAGCGTCTGGCTCGTTGGCGTGCTTTGGATCTTTCATATAGATGAAGCATTGGAACATGCGCTTATCATCGTGGACACCATCAGAGCCTGGGTATGTTAGTGGCTGCACTCTATATCAAGACGGTTGATAAAATACCATAGATCCATGGATCGACAATAACGACGGAGCCCTCGGGAAGCTGCAACTTCGCAATGGCAGCCTTCATCCCCTCATCTTCCAACGCGATTTTCTCGACCATGAGAATCTCGTCACCATCAGCGTTGCTGTGGACGTTAGCTCCAAGGCGGACATTGCTCTCAATCTTGCCGCCCTGGGACAAGTTGATAACAGCCTCGTGTAGTTTATCCTACTCGCAATCAGCACCACTCATCTCATCTATCTCCGTTTCTTCGGATTACTTACAGTGTTACGGATGTAGTAAAGCACGAAAGCCCTCCGGTCAATCTTGGCTGGCGTAGAACCACTGCGCTCAGCTTGGAGATATGGAAGTAGCTCTGCCTTGAGCGGTTCTAGTAACGTGACCGCCTTGAAGTTGAAATCCGTGTTCGCCGGCCACGAGGCCTTCAATAAGCTCGTGGCGCGGGTGATCTCGCTCGCCGTTAGGGGTCCAATTGGATGCTGCGCGACCTCCTCCTTTGCGCCTCCTACGAACGGCAGGGTGGTGGGGATTTTCTCCATTGTGACGACAAGCGGTACTGCCGATAGCGAGAATTTGGACAGGTGACGACTCGAAGAGGAACTCGACTGGAGTGACGATTCCAGAGAGAGAAATTATGTATGAGAAAGGGAAGTAGAGGTGAGCAAAGAAAGAGGAGAAGAGAAACTGGAAATGGTTCTATATATCCCCCCAGGCAAAAGGAAAGTCTAATTCTTATATAACTATTTCTATGGGCTACTTTCTTATCGGAGAAGTCGTATATTACTCGATTTCCCCCACTTGACCCCGCGTTGGCGGGCTGATTCGCTGCTCGGATGCGCATTCCCGATCGGGATAGATTGTGGTACCCGCCGATGGGATGGGATGGGACGAAAACACGATTCCGACGCAAGGAGCAACGTCGCAACTCATCGACCTGTTGTTCCTATCGAAAATGCTCCACATGTGCAACGGAATTGTATTGAAATGTCGCTTTGAGTCACGGTTTGATTAGAGCCACCCCCGCCGACTTATGCGTATTTGTGGAGTTCTGACTGCGGACTGTTCCGCTCATGCCACCATAATTATAAATCTACCCCTCACAAAACATATCATCTGAACAACAAAAAAAAGTGTTATTATACTGATCTAATCTATGCCTGCCTCTTCTCTAACAGTAGAATACCGCTCGGCTTTTGTGACTTCCCCACTACGCCTTCTTCCCTTCCATAAATCTTCGTCCCGCGCAAATATGTCTCCCTAACTACACCCTTGAGCCTCTTTCCTTGATATGGGGTGACCTTGTTGCGGAATAGCATATCCGTCTTCTCTACTACAAAGCTTCCCTCATCGTCAAAGACACAGATATCTGCATCGAGTCCCTCCTTCAGCGCGCCCTTGAGATGCTCAAGACCAACTTGCTTGGTGGTGTTAACACAGCACAGGCGCACGACGTCTATGATGCTCAAAGCCGGCTTTGCCGGCGCAGTCTGGTTATGCGCTGAGGTCCAGAGAATAGGCAGACCGAGACCAACACTGGAGATTCCACCCCAGCTAGCGAAGAAGTCGCCCTTCGCCTTGCCGTCATCAGCAGTCCCTGGTTCCGCGACGCTCAAGTGGTCGGGGAGGAGCTTCAACTCGGGGGTGCAGGGTGAGTGGTCCGAGACGATGGTTTGGATGACGGAGTTGGGCTCGTTCAGTTCGGCCCACAGACCGTCGCGGTTAGAGGCTTCGCGGATGGGCGGGCAGCACTTGTGGCGGGTGTCGCCTGTGGCGACGTCCTCTGATGCGAGAGAGAGGTAGTGGAAGCAGGTCTCGGCTGTGATCTTGATGCCTTTCTGGCGCGCTTCGCGTAGGAGAGGGATGGCCTGGATAGCGCTGAGATGCACAATGTGCAGTGGTAGGGAGGGTGCGAGGTGAGCTAGCGAAATAACCTCCTCGATAGCGTAAGTCTCGAAAGCGGGAGGGCGGGAGGCCAGGAAGGAGGAGTAGGCGTCAAGTGGGCCGTGGGGTTGCGCTGGTGGGAGCGAAGCTTGGACGTCATCGCCGACGGAGTCAGTGATGGGCGGGATCATCTCAGCATGGAATAGCACAGTAGTAGGCTGGGTTGCCAATGTCTTCAAGACCAGCGCCACATCCGTTGAAGACACGGCTGGGAACTCGTCAACCTATTCATCTTGTCAGTAAGTCTTTTCTCTACTTGAGTAGGCGTACTTACACCGCTCTCGATCAAGAATCCCTTAAAACCTCTAACTCCAGCTTCAACCAGCGGGACGAGCTCGTCGGCATTGCCAGGGATAATGCCACCATAGAACCCAACATCCACCCAACACTGGCCTTCCGCTGCCTTAATCTTCTCCTTAAGCCCTGCCACAGTCGTAGTTGGTGGGATGGCATTGAGAGGCATATCAATCACCGTAGTGACACCCCCACTCGCCGCTGCGCGAGTCCCCGTCCAGAAGCCCTCCCATTCCGTCCGGCCTGGCTCGTTCAAGTGCACGTGAGCATCCACGAGGCCCGGTAGGATAATGTTCGGAGAATGGTCAATGTACACTGTGTCTACAGGGAATTCCGACTGCGGAACAACTTCGGGGCGGACAGAGAGGATCTTCCCCGTTGCTGGAGATATCGTTATCGTTGCAGGTGACACAACAAGGTTGCCTTGCGCATCAGGGATGACGGCCCTAGTGGAGACGAGGACGGTCTGTGTGACCTCCTGTGTACTGGAGCGCGTAGTGGGCGCCATCTAGACTTCACTGGGAAGAGAGCCAATGACTTGTGCTTTCGTTTCTACTTTTAACGTATGAAACGTGGAGACTGAGTGGGTTGAGATATAAGAAAGATGGAAAACACAGGTCGAGAATTGGGGATAATGGAGACTGAAATGAGCTCTACAACTACCGCAATTTTCAAACCCGACAGGAAGAAATGGTCTCTTTTATACGGAATGCTTGGTTCTCGCCGGGAGGGGTCGTGGAGCAGGCTTGTTACAAGCTATAAGGTGTCTAGGGAGAAGCTTATCTGGGGTCTGGGGCATCGCCGCCACTCACAGGTTTTGATCGAGTAAGCCATCGAGTAAGGCTATCGAGTAAACGTAGCCGCGGGACGATCTGCACGTTTCTATTCATATAAATCTCTAATTTTCAAAGGTTTTGCTGCTGGGTAGGCCAATATGTAGATGAGATTTTGCTAGGGCGTTTAACAGCACCAATAATCTGAAATTTGAGAGCCATTGCTCTCTTTGTATTATCACCTTTCATTGATGATTCCTTCTTCAGATGCCCAAGTGCGTAATCGACTTTCGGTTATCGTCAGGACCTTTCCGCACCTCTGGAGTCGGGAATGATTATGTAAGGGCGGAGGTCGCCTAATTTCCTGTTTTCACACTAGGTAACGGCTAAACCGTGGAGAAAACGAAAGACTGGGAAAAGATCCTAGAACCCCACATGTTGCGCTAGGTCCAATGAGGTCCGGAGGCAACGATGGGGCCAACAGTCACATATCAAGTCATCTTCATGTAGAAGTGATTAGAAACTCTCATACCGTCGGGAACTATATCAATATTTGTTCTGTTCTGACCGCATCATCAACTAGAACCCACCGCGAATTATTTGTGCAACGTGCAAGGCTTCTTGCCACTATGAGTATCGCACAGTGATTACTTCAAAGCCGAGGGCGTGCAATCCGTCCCATAAGCAAGAGCCTTACCTTCCAAAGAGAGGCCGTGGAGGCTTTGCAGACTACAAATATGCCAAGACGCAATCCCCCATCAAGCGGGCCTAGTCAATCTTCCAGTGATCGGTCCTCCAGTGACCCTGACCAGACTGTTCCACGACGCCGAACAGCAGGGAATCGCCACTATAAGTCCCGTCAGGGCTGTTTCGAATGCAAAAGACGCAAGGTCAAGGTAAGTCTCAAAGCTACTCGCTTGCAATAAAAGCAAACCCAGTTTTCCACATATTCTAACTCTGCCGCTGTAGTGCCAGGAGACACAGCCAGCATGTGAGAACTGCGTCCGCCTGTCACTGTCTTGCCGGTATCTGCCCTATGGCGCCAATCCATCGCCAGGACAGGCAGTTACGTTGCATGAGAAGCAGATCTTTAATCTGACGGACATGCGGCTCTTTCACCACTATTTCGTTGCAGCTTATCCTCATTACCCTGTCAGAAATGACAATATTTGGATTAGCTATGTGACTCCTATCAGTCATCAGGTATTTCCATCCACTGCATCAGGTTTTGTGCAGTACTGACACCAAACCCAAGTGTGACTTTCTGATGCACGCAATATTGGCATTGTCAGCGTCTCATCTAGAGAAACTGTCCAACAGCGGCCTGACAAAAGTCGCTCAAGCCCACCGTCTCGCTGCCATTACGGGTCTGAATAGCCATCTAGACAAGCCATTGAAGACAGCAGCAGACGGCGATGCGGTTATCGCCACTTGTTTTGCATTGTTGATGCAATCCTGGTACATGGATGATGGACTCGAGTCTTTTCTGGTCATGACTCGAAGCTGTGAACTTCTTACCAAGCATGTTCGGAGCCAGAAAGTGGATGCGATACTTGCGCGAGACGACTGTTCTCGCGTGGAAAATATGCGCCCAAGGCTCCACGGAGCCCCGAGCTATGATCTCGATTTTCTGAGCTTGGCCTCCCAGTCTGTCAATGACGTTGGGTTATTATGCGAAGAGAGCTATCAATGGAAGCTCCTTACAAGCCTACAACAATGTATTGCATCGCTAGCAAAGTCACAGATGGAAGGTATGTCAAATTGCCATATCATGTTCAGTCAGAGGGCTTACAATTACAGGTTATATGTCCCACCTTAATATCGAATCTATCTTGGTCTCCATGGACCATGAAGAGCTCGTACAGCTCATAGACCCTCAAAACGTCATTTCTCAGCTTCTCCTTGCTCACATGGTCGCCATACAGTTGATTCTCCGTCCAATTGTCTGCCGAGAGAGGAAACAATATACTGTGACGATGTTCAGCATCCGCATGAGCCGATGGGTCGAGACGATTTGTGACAACGTCGGTGCAGGATACGACGGATTCTTAACATGGCCTCTCCTCGTCAGTCAATATCACAATACCAAGACTTTGGAGAAGCACATCCTTGCCTCGCCAGCAACATCAACGGGAATAGTTGGTTATAATGGGGGTATGAATTTAGTAGCAACATAGTTAGCATGGGGTGGAGCTACAGGTGATACGGAGTTAAGGTGATTTATGAACATGCCTCATGAGATAATTAGATATATATTTTGACATAGAAGGTCGTTACCCATCAACTTAATCCTGCCCTGTTATTCACCAAATGAATGGCAACCTTGCTCCCACCAACTCTGAACTCCTTAACAATCCTTATTACTCCTAGCCATATCCTTTTTTGCGCCCACCCCACCTTCATCACTCCTCCTCCATATAAGCCACCCCGCCTGAATTCCTCACCACCCACTGCCGCGGCTCCATCAGCCTATAGTGTCCAAACTCATCCTCCAGGTCCCCCTCACTCCAACTCTCCTCCTTTTCCGTCCCGACATACCGCCCCGATTCATCATGCGCAAAGTAACGGAGATAGTCGCGCCGCGGCATCATCGCAACCACGACCTTCGTCTTCTTGAAACGGAACCGGTCACGCAGGGAGCGGCGGCGTTTCTGGGATGTGCTACTTCTATTAGCGCTGGTCTATTTCTCAACGCCGATCACCTCGGATGGGACGTAGGAACATTGGCGCTTACGATTCCACCCCGGCCTTGAAGCTCTCTGCGCACACCCGGACCACGACAGGGATTATGCTATCGTCTGTAAATCTGAAAGGGAGAAAATGCGGCGCCGTGGGGCCGAACACACAGGCGGACGACCAGGCGGATCGATAATCTGTAGGCATAGGGCGACCAGTAGCTGTGAAGCGCTCAAAGCAGTCTGTGTCGGATAGTGTTGAATTGGACGACCCAGAGCTAGCGGTGCTGTCCTTGCGCTCAAGGATGGGATGTGATCGCACCATGTTTATGTTGAATAGCGACTGTCAATCGATGGAGGTGATGGTAATTGCATATGGGATAGCACGGTTTGACCGGAGTGTTGGTGGATACGAGTATATATATACATCCCCTACTGAGTACAGTACATTATCACCTTGCGACTGATCTCCGTCACCACCCACACCAACGGTCCTATCTGTAACAAGGCTAGTGACGGCGTCACTATTGGCGCATTACAGCATCGGGCCTATTCGACAACCTTCCACCCGGTCGGCTTCAACGCGAGTGGCGGCCAGTGAACCACGCCTATCCCATGTTGTCCATCAGCCCGTCCAACCATCCACATCCAAGATCATAGTTGCAACGTGGTACAAGGTGAGGAGTGGATGTTTGGCATCACGGCAGGTCTAAATTCCCGGTGCTTCAAGCTAGCGATCGCCTGATCGCTCCCGCACCCGCCAATTAGGCCGGTGTTTCGCCGTCAAAGCTCGATTTTTTTCGATTCTGGATTTCTTCACCCGGGCATACGCGCAAGCCACACCGGGGGGCTGCAGTAAAAGCCGTGCAAGGGCACCGTTGGAGGAGAAGCTCACCGTCGGCGGCAATCCGAGAGGCTTGCTTACCGCCACCACTGTTGTATTAGCTCCTCGGGCGTAATCCGACGAAAAAGGAGGTCGGTGCTCGAAAAGCTGTCAGACGTCGGTTAGCTACCTCGTTAGGGCCTAGTCATTATTGTGGTGGGTGTTTTAGGTGGAGTCTTCAGGTCAGTCGGCAGGGCTCCAGTGTTATGGACGTCGCGTCTGGTCCGAGCTTGGCGGCGTGGTTTTTGATTACATATATCTCCGAGGTAAGAGGAGAGTCAGCAATGTGTAAATTTCTACATGATTGTGTCTATGAAATAGATCAAAAATCTTCAGCTGTACCGATGATTTTGCTATTGCTTGCGGGTAGAGGTGGCCTTCTTCCCACTGGAGAAGTAACGCGGGGCAGTTGGAACTCAACCTCAACGGCATCAGTTCCGTACGGAGAGTATAACATTTCCACATTAACTTCTCTTGGCGTACTGAGATGTGACGAAGAATACTGCGCCTGCGCTAGCTGAAACCACTCTAGATCTTCAAAATGGCAGTCACACAGCGTCAAATTAAGGTATGATTGATGACACCATGTAGCTGTCCAACTGGCGCTGTCGATAGCACAGCAGGTGAGACAAAGCTTGCACTAGAGACTTGAAATATCCCGGAGGTCAATACGCAGAGATATCCGGTATTACTGTACTGTCTCTTCATTCTCGTCATGCCCGGCGCCAAAAATGTGTCCATTGGAGTCTGTATCACCTATTCCGACTTCTCACATACGCCACTGGCCGGCTACCCAGGCTTTAATCCCTATTTCGAGAGGTACCACATCATTAAGTAGGCCGTTGTGATCACTATGCTTATGTCTCTGGGCTCGTGGCTGATCATACTCACCAGTCTCTCGGTCAGCTCGGCATCGCTGTCATGGGACCACTCTTCGAAACCGCTGCACGTCTAATGATGTGCATGCACCCACCATTCCCCGCTATCCCCATCATGTACGTCGTTGCAGGTTTCGGAGCGGTCGGAGACGGGCGTGGAACGCGTGAATCGGGATCTGTAAAACGCAAACAGTCTTCTTAGGTAACTTTGGCCCTCAGAACCGGACCGAAATTGACACTGGACGTGATTCTGGTATTGATTATCGTACTTATTCCGTCTTGTGTCTGATCAAAACTCGAAGCCGGTCTAACAAAAAAAAAAGCGAACATCAATCGATGCCTAATCAACTTTACTGGCCTTCTTTTTCCTCTTTCCCTTTACTTCGTAATTCGCAGTCTTGTCGTTTGACTGACCCAGGGCCGTTCGTCTCAAGCGGCCCAAGAACTTTTCGTCATTCAACTCCTCTGTTCTAATTCCAAAGACAGCTTTGTAAATCGGGCCCATGTCATGTGGGCCACAAGGTCTCGCATCGCCGCTTGCTCTTCGTTTCGCGAAAAAGTTCTGGAGGCAGGATGTGATAGCTTGTTCGATTGTCAATGTCTTCTCTGGCGCCACTTCCTTTGGAGGTTCGTTTGTTCCGGAATTGATATCTTCGTCGAACTCGAGGGCTTCAAATTCAGGAATGTCCGTTAGGATGGGACGGGAGACGACAGTATTTTTGATGAGTAGAGCCTCCTCGGGTGTGAAATAGGGAGCGCTGATGTACAGCTCATCGGTTGTGCACAAGGTTCGGGCTTCTGCGGCGTGATCTTTGGAAATATTGCAAAGATCATAGAGGAGGACGTGTATCTATGCGGTAGGTTTAGTGTCCTGGAGCTGGAATATTTACAGACGGAAAATTAAAGTATTATCTGGATTTCACAAAATATAATAAAATACAAATGTTGGTCACCATGTACCAAAGGTCCAGTTTTTCTCGAAGGTCTAGTAATGTCATATTCTTGTCATCTGACGAAGTTTCTCTCGTCTCGACAGGCCTTGCATTATTAGGCTGTGGATTTGTTCCGGCCATGTTGATTATTCTAGACGATGAATCTGACCGGCCAACAATAGTGATCAGCACCGAGGACCAGTTTCAAGCGCAGTGAATAGTTTGATGAAGAAAACGAACTCGAGGAAGGATATAGTGCGAGTTAGTTTGGTTCTAAAATAGCTAATGAGAAGCTAGAAGCTATGGTGTGACGGGTAACCACAGCGAGAAAGGGTCCGACGTCAAAAATAAAGTTATAACCTACTGGCGGTTAGCTCGAAAGGCGAAATTTACTAGAGAAGTAAATTAACTCGTAGGCGCATATTAAGTTCTAAATACTGTAGGTTGTGGTATAACCAACTCCATGGTCCGAATTCTGAAGAATTAATCATAGGCGTTGGGAAGAAGAGTGTAAAAAAGTATTCAGTCACGGTCTTGACTACTACTATGGAACAACAAGGGGCTATATAGCAGAGGCATTTGCTAACAGATCAATATAAAAAATACTAGATTATGATGCAGATAATCAGCTATCGGAAATCAAGGCTATTTGGTCGTCTTTGGGCGTCTAGGCGTTGTTGGTGGGGACTTCTGCTGGCGCTTTTCTTTGGAAGTATTAGCGGGAAGATGACTGGCTTTGGAGGCTCTGGCGATGGTGGTGATGGATCGATAGGTGTCGCAGCTGAACTCTGTTCCGTTTTTACCTGCTTGCCAACTGATTCTTGAGGAGGTAGGGTAGTTTGTGTTGCCTGACTCGTCGAGGCCTCGTTCGCAATAGGTTCTGTAGATGACGGCCTCGTAGCCCCATAATTCGGGATTTGGAATGCAACCCTGCAAGATGAATTAGTATTTATGTTTTATAAAGATATATGACTTACTGCTAATCAATCAAACTATTTTGAGTGCTGAGATGAGCTCTGCCTCCCTTTCCTGCATCTTGGATTGTGAACGGGGAGTCTTTCTCAAGATGGCACTTTGCGTGTTTCCTAAGGTTGCCAGCTGCCTCCCAGCGCCTAGCAAATTAATATCCCAGTGTAATTAGCAGTCAACTGGTTTACAACTTTGGAATTGCATGTCGACACCACTGGCAATACTGCTCACATGAAAGGATCATATGACCCTTGTATTGATGGCGCTGAAGGCAGTTAAATAATGATATTATGGTGTTGCGATGGTGTTGTTATGATGTGTTGGGCTTGTGAGTGTTCGACGTGATGGTTGTTGGTAGGTATGTGGAATGCCGCGGGCAGCCGTGACGAAGCTGTCAATCGTGAAGGTACTTGCGCAATCAACGCAGTAGTTCCATGTAAGTCGCTAATGGTGTCGCTGTTGCCGTATGCTCAATCGTGGAGGTACTTGCGCAATCAACGCAGTAGTTCCATGTAAGTCGCTAATGGTGTCGCTGTTGCCGTATGCTGCATATATGTTGTGGACGTGGTGGTCGAGGTGGTTGTTGAGTGTAGATAGTTCCGAACGAGAAAGATTATTTAGTGCGGCTCACGATATGGCCGACATTTAGCCCTAACTAGGCCATACATGCAATACATGGGCTTCTTGACGACAAGGTAAAGGCATTTTGACATGAGCAGGAACAATAGATTGTATTGATGGCGTTGGAGAGGGAGAAAAAATGTTGTTATGGTGGTTGTGATGATGTGTTCATATTTCCGACCAAGAAAGATTGCTTGGTGCTCAGCCAGTGAGTGTGGCCTTTAGTCCTAACTAGATATAACTGGCTATAAACCGGTTGGCAACCAGTTATAAACCTTAGGATAATTTTTCAATCTTCGTTGTTATAAGTGGCTACTAAATGGTTGGTGGTTTCCGTGACCGTTAAATGCAGGAGGAGGGAAGAAATGGCGCCGCCCCACTAGCTTTCTCTCGTCAATCTCGTCTCTCATCTCTTATTTTATTCGACCTCCCTACCCGGCATCTCAGTCATCGCACTCGTCTCACTCTCCTCCTACATGCCATTTAAATTGCCAACTAGATATGAACGCCTAGACCAAGGGGACTCCATCCCCGTTCTCTGCGGTTGGCATTTGTTGTAGATACATTAACCATGTGTTTCTCATAAGCTCCGCAGCTCCATTAACAAGAACGAGATGACATTTCTCAGTGTGCCAACCGGGTATCACATTTCTATACTAAGCTCGATCTACTTATGCTACATATGGAACCGATACGGATTACACGTCTACCTATACGAACTGAGCGGCTTATACTACGTTGTTGCGACGGCCAATGAAAACTAAGGCGCGGAAAAGTGGCTTACCGCCTGCCTGGAAATAATTGAACAGGCCGTGCCTTGTAGCAAGTCATGCATTACCAACGGGAGGCTAGAGGGCATAAAAGGAGACTGTTACGTTTTCATTTCTGGAGCCGTTCTTTGCCAAGCTATATATGCGGATCGGCAAGCGGCCCCCCTTTTAGAAAATGCGGGGGGTACCGAGGCTGACATTGCGGGGTACCCCGCAAGATGTGTATTTAACACTCACAATTCCAATACCCCGGACTGTAAGCATGCACTTTAACATCTTCTTACTCAGCTTACTTTGCAATTAGGATTTTCCTTTTACCACCACATTTATATAATACTTCAATACCTCCACCCCATCCATCTCAAACCTACAATCATGGCAGACCGCTCAGTGATGTCCCGGAACGCTGGTCCGCGGCTCCCCACCGATCCAGTAGCCGTCGCCGATATATCCCACGTAGAAACCCATGGATATGTGATACTACCCTCCATTCTACCCCTGGAAGAAGTCCAAGCTGCCAAAGCCGAGATTAGGCGCCTCTCTGGCTCTACGCCTCTTGCTGGCCGCAATCCATTCGAGGGCCTAGACACGACGCGTATTTACAGCTTGCTCAACAAGACGCGGGTCTTTGACAAGCTCGTAGTCCTGCCTCGCGTTCTCGCGCTCAATGATTACTTTCTGGACCCGGGCTACCAACTTACAGCGTTCCATACGATTCAGATTAACCCCGGCGAGCAGCCACAGGATCTGCATCACGATGACGGGTTTTGCCACTTTCCACGGCCAAGAGGACCATTAGGGACTGCCATTATGGTGGCGTTTGATGAGTTTACAGCCGTGAGTTTGCTGTCGCTTTATGCTTCGTTGGATGGATGCGAGCGTAGCACATGCGATAGATGCGGATTCTGATTATATTTTAGGAGAACGGCGCCACACGCGTGATTCCTGGCTCACATCTCTGGGGCAGTGAGAAACCGAGGAAAGAGCAGGCGATTCCTATGGTTTGCCCAGCTGGGAGTGTGATATACTTCATAGGCACCACATGGCATGGTGGAGGACCGAATACGTCCACATCATCGAGAATGAGTGCTACAGTGCAATATTGCCAGCCATATGTAAGACAACTGTCTATTTCAATGACTTCCCACCAGATGTAGATTTTGGCTAACAATAATCACAGATTCGCTCGCTTGAGAACCAGTTCTTGGCTGTTGACCCACGGAGGCTGCCAGAAATTGACACACGGATCGTCGAGATGATGGGATATAAAATTCACCAGCCGTTCGTCGGATACGGTATGTCATCCCGCCCTGTTTTGGCGACAGGCATGCCACCATCAGAAGCGAACCTTGCTAATATTGCTGCAGCCGACGGACTCAGCCCAGTTAGAGGCGCGCGGCGGATGGTAGAATGGCTGCAGAAACCTTTGGATAAGAATCCCCCTGCATTCCCTGATCATGGGACCGGGAAGAGCAAATTATAATGCTTGCGTGGGGTTGATATGAGCGCTGTATATATTGGCTAATAGTCTTCCAATGAAGCTAAAATATAATCTGCTTGGTAGCCAAGTCTGTGTTAAAATGCCACTCCGGCATGAGTACTCAACGTCACAGTGTTGGATAAGTGTTGACGATAGAAGGAATCGCCTGTGATAAGACCCTGAAGCTGAAATTGTGTGGGGCGATGCAAAGGTGGCGAATATTCTAGTTGATGTAAACATGGATGCATCGATTATCGACTTTGGAGGTGGATTCACACAGGGTTCGGTTCAGAGGGAGGACGCAGGGACTGTTGAAGCTGACTCCCAGGGGCTTGCGAAGATTGTGGATTATTGCGACAAGTGAACCATGACCGGAGGAGGATTTAAGACATCTGTTGGAGACATAATTTCCGCTTTACATTTGATGCACCAATACCTCATTGGTAGGCTCTTTCAGCGTACTAATGAACTTCAGCGCCTATGAAATGGAACTCTGGCAATCGATGCTACAATGCTTCAGCTGACTGGAAGGTCCGAAGGCGGCTATAAGCGAGGACCGTCCCTATAGCAAACATGACATTGTTTTGCTATTCCCATAGCTATAGAATACTGAAAGACAGCAAATGGCAGTATCAAGGTTTATATTGTACTATGTGGACGTTTGGCACCATGTCCATAGCTGCCCGAGGACATTTGTGGATCTGCAAGGCGGCCCACAGGCCTCAATGCGAGCGACGCTAGGAGCGCCACAAGATCCGGTCTCATGAGCCTATCGCACATCACGCACATAAATTTCCCTCTTTCTCAGGCTCAGCAAATAGTATGCGGGGTACCAGTGCAGCTAGTTTTCCAATACTGCTCTAAGATTATTATCTTTTGTCGAAACATGAATCGCGCAAATGGACGCCGCGAGGAAACAATCACGATGTGTATCTTCGTGATCAGGTCGCTATAGGAGTTGTCTCATATGTAAATTACCATCACAGGTATCAGCGACTCGCAGATATATTCGACAGATACACCACCCTTGTTCGCATGGTGCGGTTGCGCGGTGAAACTATTCCAGGGCTTGGCGCGTCTTCATCAGTTCGTTGGCGACTTTATCCCGATAACTGGGCGTCTATGTCTCGCCCAAAGAGTCTGGGCCCGCCAGGGTTCAGCGACAACATCGAATAGGACAGCCGCCTAGTCTGAGACTGTAGCGACTGATATTGCAGGCTTTGCATTGCCAATTTAAATACTGATGGTTCTGGAACGCCCCGTGTTGGAGGTATAAATACAACTGCCGGCAGGAGACCCACTACCGAAACATGCCACCAATGCCTCGACCCCTGTACATCATGCGCGACAACCACGAAGCATCCAAAGCCACCATTCTTCTCCCACAAACTCTAATCGTGGCTACCGCCCAGCCACTTGTTCGCTGGGAGGTTTGGGGCTGTCGATGGTTTGGTCCAGCTACCCTGATCATCCAGCATGTGGTTACTGGGGCACGAGGTCCTGGCGTGGCTCATGGAAATCAGATGGATCTAAGCAGATCACAGGCCCTGGTCTCCATCAGCTCCCTTGTTTCTTCTTTGCTCCCATGCAAGTATATTAAGGTAGCTGTTCCCTTTCGTTTGGTTTTGTTTCTATTCTTCTCTACTCCGCGCTTTTCGTCGCTCTACAGTACATACGCTTCTCGTCTCCGACTTCGCTCGCTGGCTCTTCTTCGACTTGCCTCTTATATTCAATCCCGAACATTTACGCCTGGAGACATCACAGCCGATACTTGTGCACGATGCCGTCCCAAGTGTTTTTAATATCCCTAACGCTCTTCATGAGTACCTTCACTTCCGCCCTCCTATCCTTCCCGCCTGTCAAATTCAACCAGAAGGTCATTGGCCCTTCTACAAACCCCGCAGCTACCGCCGTGTCGTACCGTCTCAAGGACAAGTACGACTCCTCAAACTTCTTCAGTTCCTTCTCCTTCTTTACTGGCTCCGACCCAACTCACGGCTTCGTCAACTACCTCTCCCATTCCGCCGCGGCAAATGCAAACATCATCTCCACCGGCAACTCTCAAGTGAAACTCCATGTGGACCACACAAATGTGGCACCCACCGGCCGCGCCTCCGTGCGTCTCACTTCCCAGAAACAATACACTCACGGCCTATTCATCGCAGATATCGCGCACATGCCCGGTGGCGCCTGCGGCACCTGGCCAGCATTCTGGCTCTTTGGGCCCAACTGGCCAGCCTCAGGCGAAATCGACATCATCGAGGGCGTAAACTTACAGACCACGGACGAGATGACGCTGCACACCTCCGCAGGATGTGTAGTCGATAACCTGGGCTCGCTCCCTGGAACTACGACGCTTGAGAGGAACTGCAATGCCAATTCAGGCTTCAACGGCTGCTCGGTGAGCACGAGCAACCCGCGAGGCTTTGGAACGGGGTTTAATTCCATCGGTGGTGGGGTGTATGCTATGCAATGGGAGAGCTCTGGCGTATATGTCTGGTTTTTCCCACGGGGCTCTGTGCCTGCTGATATCAGCTCTGGGGCGCCGAGGACGCAGAACTGGGGGCTGCCGGTGGCGGCATTTAATGGCGGAAACGGCTGCAACATCGACCAGCATTTCAAGAACATGAACATAGTTTTCGACACTACTTTCTGCGGAGATTGGGCTGGGGGCGTGTGGGGTCAAGGGGCTTGTGCTTCTTTGGGGAGTTGCGAGAGCTATGTGGCAAATAATCCGCGCGCGTTTCTAGAGAGCTATTGGCTTATCAACTCGGTTAAGGTGTATCAGTTGGGCTGAGTACCATGATAACTGGGGAGGTATGATATTGTGTTATTTAAGGGAGGTGTCCTGTGAGGTCACACCTAGGTCCCGGCTACTGTTGATGTTGCACAAGGCCACGCGAAAGCCATGCAAGTGACCAATACCGAGGGGCTGGAAAGGCGAAGCTGCCTATTATGGCACGAAGAGGCGACGCCAAGTGAGCGGACGAGGGCTGATATAAGAATATATATTTGCTATATATATACTTATAATATCTATTATTTTGGGAATAATGAGTTTTTATTTTATTTTAGAATTATGCAAGAAACCCTAGATATTACTTTAGATCTAAGAATATACCATTATAGCAATGTTTCAGCTTATTAGGGGCAACTGTGCCGTCCCTGTCTTGAGTCGACATAAACTACCTTACCATACCTGGTATCAGCTCATACAAACTGTTTCCATCCAACACTTCTAAATCTTAACCACACCCACTCAAAATCTACCCCCCTCACCCCACTACCCCACGGCGTCTAACCCTTACCTTCCCTCCTTTAACCAACATAGATGCCTCAGTAGCCCACTCTCTCCACGGTTTCTCTCGTTTAACAACCTCGATATCATAGTTTATGAGGAGATATGCTAACACGATCTTCATCTCGAAGTCAACTATAAAGCGACCGGGACATGCGTGTTGACCATGAGCAAAAGGGAGATTAATCGCGGACGTCGAGACGAGAGGTAATTTTCCTAGCGGGTGAGTCGGTGGCCCATTGGATAACCCCTTGTTACTATCGAGCCCTGTAGAAAATATAAGCGACTGCGAATTCTGGGATGCGGCAACGGCAATGGCCTCTCTCGCGAGGGAGAACCGAAATGGATCAAACTTTAACGGGGCCTCGAAGACGTCAGGATCGGTCTGTGCCGGCTGGGCGAGGAGTGAGAGCATAGCACCTTTGGGGAGAGTGATGCCGTCCTCTGTGACGAGGCCGTTAGCGACGACTTTCTTGAACACGGAACGGTTGGCGAAGGCGTGCAGCCGGAGAGTCTCGCGGCAGACGCTGTCCATCTTTATCATCTGCGCGGCAGTGGCCTTGGTCCATATATCATTGTGGTCAACAAGAGTGGTGGCAGCTTCCTCGCGAAGAGCATCAATGGTGGAGTACTCGGCATCGGAGTCGAGGATATTGAAGAGAGCGTTTGTGATAGCTATGCTTGCTTGGTAGAGGGAGCCTGTGTTTGAGACTGAGATGCGGGCAGTGAAATTCGTGAGATTTATCTCGGATGGGAAGTTGGCTGCAGCGTAGCGGAGCATCATTTGAAGGTGGTCGCAAGGCTCCTCCGGACCGGGAGAGGTTTGTAAAAGGGAGAGATGGGAGTGGAAGAGCGGGATTAGGGAGTTTCGGATGGAGCGGAGGTGGAGAGTGGTAAGAATGCGAAAGAAAGCGCCGAATAGAGGTCTGATAGGGCGCGGGAGGATACCAATTAAGAGTCCACCAAGGATGGTATTGTCTATATAATCGATGGTTCGCCTGAGGTAAGATTCGTCACGACCTGAGTTGTTAGTTACCTGGATTTAGACCACAGGGTTGGGGAAGAGGCCATACATAGCGGAATACCGACAGTAAAGCGACTCGATCCCCGTGCAATAACGATTCTAACCATCTCATACAGATCGATTTCTCTCCAGTCCTTCTCGTCCATCCCAAACTTCTCATCAATCGACACTTTCAGCTCATCATCCAGATCCGCAACAATTGGCTCAATCAAAGAGAGCATCTGGGTTCTGACAAGGTCCCCCTGCCATGGGTTTCGAATAACATTCACATCCCCTGTCGTGTACACAGCCTGGTTCAACTCAAGGAAGGTCTCGTATGAGTTCAACACATGGTCGGGTTGCGATGTGTACCAACGTAATGAGGCTCCCGGAATAATAATGTCATTTCGGAAGCCGAGTCCTGGGAGGAGACAGGTCTTTCCGTGCTTAGAGTACTGGAATACTAGTTAGCTAGATGAATTGGAAATTGGGAGTTAATAAGGGGGACTTGCGGTTTCGTACGCCTCTTTGTACAGAGCTTTACAGTTGGTATAGTACGCCCAGCGTGTCTTAAGGCTGAAGCGGGTAGCACCAGCGGGCTCGCGGACACGAGGTAGATTAGGAGGGTAGGAAACTTGAGTGAAATAGCCGACTACAAGGTGAGCTAAAACCGCTGTGGAGATAATCATCAAGACAATAGCCTGAAAAGAGCTAGAGGCAAATATTTGCTCAAAGTATCCCGTTTTAAGAAAAGTGCGAATAGATGTTTCCAGCAAATGTAGAGGCTGAGTATTTAGGAGTATCTGTTCGAAGTCCCCGTCCACTTTGGGAAGGGTGGCGTTGGTTGTCAAAGAAGGGATAGGTGGAGGATAGGCCAGTATTTGTTGGAGATATCCGCTTATATTAAAGAGAGTGCGAGTGATTCTTGTTAAAAAAACGTTGATCGGAGGGCTGGCGAGTGTTTTCTCAACGTATCTCTCCATTCTGAAGATTTGGGGCGGATTTGAATAGCTGGTGGGGAAAGCAGCGATCAGAGGACGGGAAAGGCATTGTGAGATATAAAGGTCCTACAGATACCCCTAGCCATTCTTCGGTCAGAAGATGTTGCGAGTTTCTGAATGCTGTGTCTTTTAGTTGCATTTGATCGCATTGTGCTGTGTCTTGTGCAGTAGCAAGCTGGAGTGGTTGTTTAATCCATGCTAAAAACAAACTAACTTCATCCCTAGAAGCCGCTGGAAGTCTCATACTCCCTTCCTATAACTCTTCCTTAGATTAATAACTAGGTTCTTCTCAGGTATTGCATGTCACATTTGTTTGCCTAAAATATGCCCTGCAAACTTTCACCACCCCATCCCTATAATCCCTTACCTCGCTACCAAGCCTTTGGTTTTTTGTTGGATGTCCCGATATGTTAACGCGCATAGCCACATTTTCCTTCCATCTGGAAACTGCTTTCCATTCAACACTGCAAGGTAAGTAGTACCCACTGTTATATCGGCCCGTAAATGCTACCCTTGACCCATAAAGGTAACTGGTAGCACATACACAAACCTCCGCTTGTCGTTTTCCAGATATCATGTTGCGGTGAGGATTACAAATTTACAGTGTAAAAAAGATACCATTGATGCAAGGAGAGACCCCTTGCTTTGTTCGTCATAAGTGATACCCAGGTGATAGCGTATAACGGACCAATCAATGGCCAGTTGCTAACACCGTCTGTTGACCGTCAGCAATTAGTAACAGCTTTTGATGCAGGCTGGCATAAAGTAAGGTGCAGCTCATGATAAACAATATTTGGAAGACGCTTTCATTCAATAATGCCGCTACGGAGCCCATCGGCAAGGAAATTGCATACTTCGCTCAGAATTTCGGCGCTCAAGAAGTCATCAATAGCGATACGCCAGAGCCGTGGTGAATCTCTGACGGTTAGCATGAGACAAAAGCTCGTGGTAACGAAGCATGCGGTGTAACAGCCGCTGGTGCTACCATCCTTTTCCCTAGCGGGGATTGAACAGGCCTCAGACGCTCATATTTGCCTGTGTGTAGGACGGCTATGGTGCCGAATGTGCCGGGACATCCCACCAGCATTTGCAAGTCATGATAGGGGTTGTTGCCGACCGCGTCAGTAATATTACAGCACATGAGCCTGACATTGACCGCTCCCTCTCTGCAAGAAACATGCCGAATCCTCAGAAAGCCTTTCATCACAAAGGGCGAAAGGATGAACACGGGATGTTCGGAAACAGCGGCAGAACATCCACATGGTTACCCGCAGATATACCCTCAGAAAGCTATTTGAACTATAAAGCACCCCGATTGGTTATATAAGTTAGTCAAGATTAAATAAGCTATTCTCGTTGAGGAGACTGTGGAGTTGCTACGTGGCAGTGACCCCTTTTCGTAAACTAGTGTGCCCTGAGTCATGAGCTCTTCGCCATTATCACCTCACGAACTATAATCGTCTCGACAACATTTGCACCAACTCCGCTGCATCGGCTCAGCCGTTGCACCAACTCCGCTGCATCGGCTGAGAGTTGTTGACTATGAGTCGAAGAAGCTATATTGTTTCTTGTAGTTTAGCTGTCCTTTAAGAAGATCCGTCGATTATCTGTAGCAAAGTCATAATTGCTCCTAGAGCTCGTTTGCATTTGATACTAGCGCAATATGATATTCGCAAGGTGCCTCAATAGTTGCCACTATCTCTCCTATTGTATTTAATATACGGATCCCTTCTGGCGCAGAATTGATGTTGTGAAGCCCTCTCATCATAGCTAATTAGAACATATATTCATGGATTTTGCAACCCTCTGGATTCTGTCAGTTGCTGCGACATTCGCCATTAATCTAGCAACATTATTCTTCAAACCTGCACTCTTAACAATGACATGCCCAGAGGTGTAGGGCTTGGTAGGGCTGACGTCTTTCTGTCGTCGGTATGAGTCAAAGGACTTATATCGTGTTTTCGTAAAAGGAGTCGATGATGACGAGAGTATTTGCAGTGAAGGTGTTACGTGAATCTCTGGCAGGGACAGTGTTTTCATCAGACTACATGTCAGGGGGTGCAATGATTCAATTAACAAGTGGCAATTTCTATGAAGTGACCGTAGAAGGTGGCCCGAGGGCGATGGGCTGAAGTAGAACGTTCCCGAACGAAATAGAATGGCGGCCTCAAGAGATCACAATGAAGTGACAGGATAATGGAAATTTAAGGTTTGAGCTAGAGCTAGCATATTCTGGTGGCAGGGGCGATCTGTTGATAGCTCCTGCCAACGAGGCACTGTGTCACCAGTGCCTGCTGTGGCAGGTTTAGGCAGCAGTTGTCTTATGAGCCTTTGAGCTAGATTGGTAGCTTATGTGTCAGTCATCAGAGAGGGCTCAACCAAAAGCGTATGAGAACTCTATGGCGAAGTGTCAAGAACTTGAGGCGCTAAGCAACGAGTCCCCATAGCGGGCTTCTGATAAGTAAATTATAACATATATCACCGGGTGGGAGAGCAAATTGTGTTGTATCAATGCAGACTCGAGCTGGTGACTGGTCTCACAACTTCCACCAAAACCATAAAACTGTCTTAACATCGTAAATATGAACTTTTCACATTATTTACAACAGACCCTAAACTCTACATATACAAACTTCCCACATCTACCCCACACTGCCGCCATTGCTATCTAAAACAATCTCTACACCTGCACCCTCCTCGCCGCATCCTCTATCCACAGCTTCCCATAAACTCCATGCAGCCATTTGATCCACGACGACATCGGCTCTGCCGCCGCCACCCCCTTCCCCTGGAAAAATACACTCGTCAAGCTCAACTCTACCTCCCCTTTTTCCTTTTCAACACGCGCCGCAACCTTGAACAGTCCATCCCCTCCCCGTACACCCTGCTCCCTCGGCGACCCGCCACAACGCACCGTCACTTGCGTGGGCGACCGGTCCACGACCTCGAAGTGGTCAGTAATGATTGTGCCTTTTGCGAAATCAGAGGAGTTGATGGCGGCGCGAGTCCAGAGATCCGTCTCGGTGGAGGGGTTGCGGTATTTGCGTTCGAGGTAACGGCGCTGGAATTCGTATGCTAGGTGGAGTTAGTCACATCTGTCTAATTCTTGCCATCGGCGCCTTTGCTTCTGTGCTAGGTCACGGGATGGATAAGATCAGGTGGGGAGCATACCGAGACCCCCGAACACGCCGGCCGTGACAGCCTCTACGAGGGCGCCCTCCTTTTCGAGGAGCTCAGGACGGATACTTGATAGCGGTAGGCGGCGGATGACAATATCTTGCGTCACGGGGTTGTTATTAGGGTTCTGAGCCAGGTAGGCCGAGGAGCTGTAAATAGGGTCTGTTGCTGGCACTGGGACAATGATGCTTTTGCGGGTGGTAAAGAAGGCAAGGCCTGTCACGCCCGTGGTGCCGAGGACGGCGGTATAGAGGGCTTTACGAATGATAGGCATGGTGGGCGAGGGGATTGTATGAGGTTGTGGATGGCAAGTTAGATTGCCGATATGAGGTGTGGGGTTTTATATAAATACTCACGTGACCACGCGTTATCAGATAAGCTGATATGTGTAGCCACAGCATCTTAACTCCTCCATCCTTCCATTGAAAAATGCAATACAGGAAATTGGTTAAAATCATTAATATTTATAGGTATATATGTTCTCCATCTCGTATGTAAACCACGACACAACACCCCCAATTCGCCTACCAACCTCAAAAAAAGAATGTGCCTCAAAAAATATTTCCAAGCGTCGTAGCAAGGCCAAACTTGAAGATCCGAGATCCAAATTAAACAATAGGAGATGAGATATTTTTTGTTTCCACATCCATAAAGTGGCCAAGATAAGTGCGCCAGTCTCTGCTGGACGCTCAAGGGTATATTGCATCGCACCACTCCTCCTCCTCTGCCGCATAGGCGCCTTACGCACGAACCCTCAGGTGCATCCACGCACCCGATCCTCCTACTAACCCCTCCGCACACGCGATCCTAACTCCCCATCACTCACACCAGTATTTCAACACTCTATTACTGGGGCGCTTAGGGCGCCTCCTGAATATTACCTGCCGCTGCGGGGCTCCCGGTCTGGTGCGGGTGCTGGACGGGGGACTGCTGGTATGGTGCTGGGCTCACACTCTGCTGGTATGGTGCTGGGCTCCCAGTCTGCTGCGGGTACTGGACAGGGGCCTGCTGATATGGGCCTGGGCTGACAGTCTGCTGGGGGTATCCCGTTGGCTGCTCCTGGAACTGCTGCTGCTGCGGGGGGTACTCAGCGCCGGGGGTGGCGTAGGGAGCGGCGTACTGCGGCTGCTGGGCGTACTGCTCAACCGGCTGGTAAGAAGTGGGTGTTGGGCCACCGACGGGACCCAACTTGTGCTCCTCGATTGCGGCGGGGGCGGCGGCGGCGCTAGTATCGCGGTTTTGGCGGATAGCTACGAGGGCTGGAGGGTGTTAGATGGGTGTTCCTTGCTATATTAGGGTTGGGGGCGGTGACATACTGGTGTAGACGAGAGTAGCGACAAAGGAGACCCAGATAAACGCCGTGAGCGCGGCGAGGGCCTTCGTGACGTCCCCGACGGTCGTCCAACTGTCGGATGCCCCACTGCTATATCTATAGTAGTAGCCGCCGCTATAGCTACTATATGACTCGACGGCTCCAAAAGCGGCGGCGAGCGCGGCAATTGTACCAAAAGTGGAGAGCCAGAAGATTGCTAGGAAGGCCTGCGAACCGAGGGAAATGTAGATGTTGTAGATGGTCGGGATGTAGAAAGTGTAGGCTACGATGTAGCCGATGTACGCGAAGGTCGCGATTGAGGTGAAGATGTTGAGGCCGTAGCCGCTGTAGGAGCCGACGACGGAGAGAGCATACGCCGAGAGGGCGAGAGTGACGAGGGCGAAGAACAGCTGGAAGCCAAGAACAATTTTGAGCCACAATGGATGGGGGGGTTCGGTCGCCATTTTTTGGTTCTTTGGTTTGGAAGGGGCTTGGAAGTGAGAATGAACAAATTAAAGAGGACCAAGGCGAAACAGAGAACGAAGAGAAAGGCGTTAGGCGTGCGACAGTTGGTCGATTTGAGGGATACTGAAGAAGAAGGCGGGAGGGATGCGACCAAGCTTATGTATGGATTGATATGTGGCAGAGAGGGCGTGGACCGACGATCAGGGCGGTCTCTGTCTGTCACGTCTGGGTTTCTGTGACTGTCTGGCGAGCCAAGCAAAGGTGGGCGATGCTGGTGGCTAGTGGGGACCAGAAGCACAGCTCATGGGTGGATGTGGATACTTTTGAGAAATGATGAACGTCTTCTTTGGGGAAAGATGAAGAGAAAGGGGGTGAGTTTGAGGGAAATGGGCAAGGGTCCAAGCTACCCTTGGGCGAAATTGAGTGATGGGAGTGGTGTTAGTGGTGCTTTTTATGGTCAAAGTACCATAATTTGGATGCGCGACAGGGGTGACAAGGGTGCCGTGGCTTAGTGTAAAGTGAGAAGGCTGAGCATTGACGGGATGCCGCCAAAGCTTTAATGGTACATACTGCACGGTTCATTCGTTACGATGTCGTTGTGTACAGTTCTGGGATACAGCACCAGAAGTGTTTGCTCTTTCCTGCTTCCTGTGTAGAAGACGCCACTCGCGAGGAGGCTATTGATTATTGCTAGGAAGAGTAAGCTTGAGTAGGAGGTCTGCTGCAATACAACGCAGCGTGATCATGAGGTGAGCCACAGCTGAAAAGGATGGCCATCCCGTCTCAAGGCTCTTCACCCCCTCGCCCACATTCCTAGCACCCTATCCGACCCTTATGCGACCTAGGCGGCAGATGAGGCAGCGATGCCGGAGTGAAATGAGAGGAGACTCGCACGCCAGTGCCGGGTATTGAAAAGCGACGCACTTTGGTCGAAATGAGTACTATTTGGACGCGCTGTCTCAGCCCTGTTGCGACAAGATAGTCCCTGGCATACGGGACGATATTCACTAGGATATGGGCCTAAGCTGACATTCTGCCTACCTGAGCTGTCAGTTCTGAACCCTCAAGTGGACACCGACCGTAGTTCAGTGGGTACAAAATACTGCCCTCCTCGTCACAGGTCGCTTGCTCTCACCTCATTCGGGCAAGGCTGGCAGAGTGCCGAGTCCTGCCAGTAACTCAGAACTCTAATTCGCTCTGGGCCCCACCGCGAGTTGTGGCTAGGATACCACCCGAACACACCCATCAAATCTCCCCTTCAGCTCAGCCGCACGCATCCAGGAAATCGAGCGATTGTTGGAGTACGACGCAGTGGGGTTCCTGTATGGAGCACAATGCTTACTTGAAGCCATGTACCCCCACTGTCGCCACTGATTCGCCCGCGAACCGTCAACAATGCAGCCAAGTGTGGCGTGCGAGACTGGTTCGTGTCGACATTGCTCTTCATAAAGAAAGAGGGGTGGAGAGTCTTGTTTGGCTGTCCATGCGGAAGGAACGAATGGCACAGGAAGGTCTTCATATGAGGTTCAGTCTTAGTTCTCACTGCTCACTGCTAACGGCTGTCGTACTTCTCACTGTTCACCGTTAACCGCTATGTGCTGTACTCCACGTGTGGACAGCACAAGAAGTTACCCTAAATCACTTCCACCCTCCTTTTCCTCCCAGCCGCGAAAATCGATAAAAAAAGATTCCGAAGAACGCCTTACCGCCCTCATCCCCCTGCGCAACCTTCCCTGCGCAACCCACCCGCTCCACTCGCCTACCAGCTAGCGCCGCGCATCGCTTTTAAGCCTGCGCGGGATTGTCAGACACGGTCTAATGGGCCCCGTCTTACCTGTCGGAGCTGGCGACGTGCTGATTGGACAGTGTGTTTCGTGAGGTTGCGAAGACGAGATGTGAGGCTGTAAATTTATGGGTAGCCGACAATACCCTCTCTAGTATGCGATGTGCATTATCTGAACCGGCTATGGCGGCGCTGTATTTAGGATGGTTAGCGCATCCTTGACACGTGCGTTATGGATGGCACTTGCACCTGACTAAAAGTTAGAAACAGGTGGTCGCCGTGGCCCTGGCTCCGCCACTCTGGGCCTAAATATCGTAGAGGTAAACTGACATCCCCAGTTTCTCTCCCCACTTGAGCGCAGTCATTGATAATCGTATCACCACCAAGAGGGCCTAACAGTAGAAGGGGGGAAACTAGAACCCAGCACAACGAAAAACGCGGGGGTTATTAGAAACATAGTATACATAAACTAGAATTCGTCTTTACTTTGCCACATACAATCCTGGTTAATATATTCTTAAGAAAGTATCGTGTATTATTTTATGTAATATTTTTGAGCTGTGTGGCGTTTATTCGATCAAAATAATTTTATGCCTGTGCATGCAAGATTGTCCTATCGATATCTAGTTAAATTAAGAACGGTTGTCTACACCAGCTAAGCCCTTCTGCTCAGCGAGCAATTTCCGCATCTCCTCACGAATGATACTAGGTAATATGTCTTGAACGGATGCAACGACTCGCTTTTCCACTTCCTCTAAGTTTTTCTGCATGCTCTCTTCGAGTGTCTGGAAGCATCCACGCATCTCCTTTTGCATCTTCGTCAACAGCTCACTATGCATTTGACCGAGTAGTACGACTTCTGCAGATGGCTCCTGAAGGCGTACTATCTTCATGAGGTCCTCGACTCTCTCATTCTGCTGTTGAATCCTCTCGACCATTGTCTTGATGTCAGATCTGATGCGTGAGATCGCTATCGTACGCATTGGGTTGGTTTTCGTCCATCCGGTTTCCGCTACTATCCCGAAAGCCAGCGCGTAACACGCTACCAACTCATGTCTCGCTGCTGCAACATCATCAGAGGTGCTATGCTCTATTGCCTTCTGATCTATTGCCCGTATGGCAATAGTGTGGCTGAGCATGCCTAGAATTTCCATCTCGGGTATATCAATAGTCCTGCAATTGGACAGCATTGCCCAGAACAAAGCCCTGTAGACATAGTGTTTGCTTTCCATCCCTTCTTGGCCTTGTCTGCGGGCATGTTCTTGTAGTTTTTGGCTCCTAATGACTTGTGCATTATTAAACCATGAAGGTTCATCATCGATTTTGGCTGCTTTAGCGATATTAGTAGTAGATGGCGAAGAAAACATTTTTAGGATGCCAGCTAGCATCCGCTGGGTATCGGAGCCTACTGGCTGTTCCGTAGAAAGTAAGGATTTCGAAATATAGGCTTGTTCGAATTTAGCTCGAGTTCGTGGTGACCTAGATACGAATAGGTCAAAGGCTTCATGCCATATAGAGTCTCTTTTTGCATCCCACGCGATACCTTTATTAGCAAGCATTTGCACGATAAAAGAATGCCCTCCAGTGGTAGCGGCCTGTATAGCATTACCAAGTAAGCCGCCTACCGCATCTGGTTTAGAGCCCTTTGCAAGTAAGATGGCCACAATTTCATCATGTCCGGCCGCCGCCGCAGCCTGCAATGCCGTTCCGAAGCGAATGCTTTGAAGATTAACATCGGCCCCCGAAGCAACTAGCAACTCGACAATCCTTGTAAATCCTCGGAAACTTGCTAGTTGAAGTGCTGGGCCAAGTAGAGCATGTTCTGCATCTGGGCTTGCGCCTGCTGTAAGAAGCGTTTGCACGAGCTGCGCATCGCCGTTTTCTACAGCTGTATAAAGTGCCGTCGGCTGATCACCTATAGTATTATTCACATCTTCTCCGGCCGCTATGAGTCCTTGTACTATCTCAGTGCATCCCTGCTGTGAAGCTAACTGAAGAGCGGTATGCGTCAGACCACCCGAGCAATTGATATATGAGCGGTTTTTAATAAGATGCCTCGAGACGTCTTCGAATCTTAAAAAAATAGCCACATACAACGGCGAGGGACAGCTCTCCTGCGAGAGCCCAAAGTCTTGCTTTTTTCCGTCTAGATTCCAGACTCGTATCCAATTAAGGAAGGCGGGGTTCATTGGTTCCGCGAACAGTGTTAACATCTTGTCCTTAAGCACTCCGTCCTCGGTAGGGCTATTTCTGTACCCCTTGAAATGCTCATGCCAGTGCTGCGCCACATATGGTAAGAATGGGTTCTCCATAAAGATCGAGGGCTCGATTTTCGGTTGCTTCATTGCTAGTAGATAGTCAACCATTAGACCCATAAACGTAGCATTAACGGCCTCCTCAGATACAAAGAATCGCGAGACTCGGTTGTCCCTAGACTGTTGTAGAGCATGGGAATATAAAAATCTCTTAACAGAGGGATGATCAAATGTTATAATCCCTGTCTCCGTGCTTAACGATTTCTGCATTTCCTGTTGCTGTAGGTCTGTTTCGTTCTCATATGACGGCTTCTGCTTCTCTATTCGAATCATGCTGCTTGGGCAAATGTTAAGCAGCTCTTCTGGGCTAAATAAATTGACCCCAGGAGCTGCTGCGAGCTCAAACGTCGTTAGTTGCCGTGCTGCTACCGAGATCCAGTAGAAGATGTAGGAAAGCCTAAGCGAATCCTTTGGTGCGACCCTCTGTAGCTTTCGTAGATATGCATCCTCAATATCGCGCGGAATGCTTTTTAGGGCGACATCTATCTCGTCATCGTCGAAACACTTCCGCAGGTCATCAAGTTGCAACGATATTATCCGAAATCTCCTATTAAACAGTTAGTAAAACTACCAAAACGTGAGATTAACATCTCATACCCGTCATCTTTAAGCGCCCTGTGTATTTTGTCTGTGGTTTCAGGGCTCCAGTGCTTAGTCTCCGCGTATTTTCCAATTGTTGCATCTAAGTAGGCGTCAACATCCACAGAGACTGACTTCTCAATGTCTATTTCGATAGGCGGCGTCTGGTGGCCCTTAAATGCATTCTTGATATCAGTATCAGGGATCGAAGTAACTAGAAGATGTAACCTCTGTATCTGTGCATCACCTAACCTGCCTAGAAAGTCAAGAAATTCCCCGCGGAGAGTGTCGTTACCCGCCTGATACTCATCAATAGCATCTATTATGAGAAACACGTCCTCCTGGAGAGCAGTGACAGTCTTCTCTAGAGTCTCAATGAGAGCCACAGTACTAGGCGAGGAATCTAGAAGCTCATGATTATTTGCAAGATTGCGCACAGCTTCTGGGAATGGTGTAGCCTTTGCCGAGATCCTACGGAGGATGAGACGTAATAGTCGTTGGAAGTTTTGTGTTGGTGGATCAGCATTGTCGAAGTACCAGTATGCGACTATCATGTTGCTGTTCTTCTCAGCAGATTCTACCAGGCTCTTAACAACGGTAGAGCATAGGCTAGATTTTCCACAGCCTGAAGCACCATGTAGCCACAAGAACGAATGGGATTCTTTAAGCCAATCCGTATACCTGCTCAATTCGAGTAGCCACTTTCCAGAGTTCTTATTAGCTTTGTCAACCTGACTTCGCAGTTGCTGCTGTCTGTCTGTAAGCGTAAGCTTGGTGTCGCTCAACCACTTAAGGGTACTGAGTCTCTCAGCTTTTAGTAGTTTCTCAATAGTGATGTCGATCTTATTCAGAGCTTCAGAGGCCTTGCCATCGAGATCCTGGAACTCCTGCTTGCGATATTGATGGGCTACAAATTGAGAGTGGTCGGTTACGATCTTGTCTTTTCCTTCTAAATCGACCTCTAGAACTTTAACATTCTGGTTATCTAACGTCCAAAAGCTGTCCAACACGCGGACTATATACGTTAGATTCTCTAGAATGTTAAAGATAAAGCCTAGGAAATATTACCAGCGACAGATCGACTGAGCTCCTTTTGCACACACGCAGCATATTTAAGGATGGCAACATATACTTGCTCGATCTGATCTTCGAAAGCGTTCTGTTCCTGGGTCGGCTTATCTCGATAATGCTTCTCGATAATGGCGTACTTCGGCAAGAACCTTGCCATCATAGCAGCAGAATTAAACACTGCTTCGACTCCCTCCTTGTCATTCTGAACCAGCGTCAACACGCCAGACACCACACCCCAGACAATCGTCCCGTAGCCGGTAGGGTCGAACTTGAGCCCTGCGTCCACGATGTCTTTAAACTGCAGTGCTGAGCACATGATCTCTTTTGCTTTGACTCGTATGTTGGTCGCCTTTGTCGTGTCGTCGTTCCTCATGTGCCAGCCCCGCTGGCAGTATTCCTCGTACTTGACCTCCACACGCTCCATAACATTCTCTACCGCCGCTCGCTGTGATATAGAGTCACTAGGCTTCTCATCTCCGCCAGCGGGCCGTAAAAGCTTGCGGTCCTCTAGGGACAAGGTGGCAAAGGCTTCGCTCCAGAGATCTTTAGGCACGTTCGTCTGTGGCGGACTGTTGCCTTGAGGTGGAACGGCTTGAGTTGCTATAGGGGAGCGAGAGCTAGCTCTGGCATGTCCCCTACCAGCCAGGGCCTTAGCATCTTTGTCTTTCTTGCTCTTAAAGAATGAAGACATATCTCTAGTGTTGCTTCTAAGAGAGGCACTTCACAGATCACAGACGGCGTAACTACGTGGTGTAGTAAGCCCAACCGTATTTAGATCGTAAGCTGAGTGAGGACAATTGAATAATGTGTAGTACTGCACAGGTCTATGCACACCGTAGGGTAGCAGGCACAGCGCTTCCTAATGCCTAGCCATTGGTTGATCCAGGTAGCTGCATTAGCGGGGCCCGGGCCGGGATGGGAACTAGAAGGCCCAATAAGCTAGCCAACCTCGTAATTAACCAAATATCTACACTCCAAACACCATTTATCTGCCGCCATTCGGTGGTTGTCATCTCGCCCAAAGCACCTCCAAGTTATGGGAACTAATGGCGGGGTCTCGGCCGCAGAATAACACCGCTCCTCCTAAGCGCGTGGTGTTGGCATCACAGCGGCTACCGACATGGCTCCGATGCGCCATTTGGGCCAGCCAGTATGTTTACCCAGGAGGAAATCGTATGGGTGGCTTTGGAAACGTCGTCCGTCTCCCCTTTGGAAAGGTCCTCAAACTCAATACCAACAGAAACGAGATAAGTGCTATGGAGTATGTCCGTAGCCACACTTCAGTACTCTCCCGAGAGTATTCACAGTGTATGAGCTGCTGGATGGTGCGATACATATTCTTATGGAATTTGTGCCTGGCGATGGCCCTTTTTATACAGATATGACCCCAGAGCAGATCAAAGAATTTGGTCAAGAACGCTGGGTCGCTGGGTATCTGCGGCAGCTACGAAATCTGGAACCTCCCGAAGAAGGCTTTATTGGATCCGTATCGCTTGGTTCTTCGATGGACGACAGACTGGGCCACAACCGCTTCGGCCCATTCCACAAAGTGGCAGACTTCCACGATTATTTACGCTTCGGAGGACCTCTTGAAACTTGGAACTATGATCCGGTGGTCAAAAAAATCCATGGCAGATCAGAATCTTACAAAGTCAAGTTCACCCACGCTAACCTCAACACAAGAAGCATCCAATGCCACAATGGCAGGATACAGGCCATCATTGATTGGGAATTCGCAGGCTGATACCCTCAGTATTGGGAGTATACCAAGATGTACTTCGCCGAGTTCTCCTTTTATCAAACATTTTTTGCCGCTGTCGTGGGCGAGCCGGGCATTGAAAAGTATCCCAAGGAACTTCGGGCGGAGCGCGATATCTGGAGGGTTGTGAATCCCTGGCAATACGACGACTTTTACGGCAAACCATTGATCCATGGGGGGCGTCTACAGGGTGGTGGAAGCTTGTGTAATGATGAGGGTACTTGGGCGGGGGGAAACTGAAAACAAGCATGAATCACAAGTGTTCCACGGTCTCTAGCAATTAGCAGTCACAATATGTAATACCACTTTTATTCTTCATTAATAACACGTCTGTTTGATATTCCTCCTCGCCCCATAGTGACAACTCTAGCTCAGCTGAGATTAACTATGTCCGCAATGCTCCTCCTAGAACTTGATTCAACTTTATAAGAAGCTTATTTATTAGCCAAGCAGCTGTCTAGACTGTAGAGTAAAACACTGGGTTGCCTAACCTAGCAGGCTCTCTAACACAGCTTAAGATAAAAGAAGTGCTCGTGTACACTTTCTGCGTCAACGCCTCTAGTTCACTTCTGTCACCGCCGTTATCCAGATTTCAATCCTTACATCCTTGGCTAGGTTTGTATCAAGGAAAATTCTTCCTAGAGCTTCTGTAGCCAAAACAGTTACTAGATCCTAGATACGGCTGTGGAACGGTGAAACGGAGTTGGGCAACTATAGACAGTAGATCACTATAAACACGCGAACGATCTGTAGAAGACGATTGATACTTGAGATATCTACCACAGAGAGCTCGAGGCAGCAACTATCGCTGGTCTACCGGTGTGTGCACGCGTTGCAGTGGTACGAGTTGATTATCCCCCCACACCACAACAGAAAGGGGCAAGAGACGAAATTAAACCAACAACACGGCAATCCCAGCACCCTACCCCAAACAGCCCAGCGAACATCTGAGATATCCCTAATATCACTCGAGTCCAGCCTCATCCGTAGCCCATTTTTCCGGATTAATGAAGGTGGAAGGGGCATGTAGGGCGCTATGTTCTTTGAGCCAGAAGAAACAAAATGAAACCGACGACACGAGAATTCCAGCTTCTACTGACACTAAATAGACCAATAGACCAGCAAACAGGCTGTGGAGGAGGCTGGACTCAACTGATGCTAATATCTCTAGCATAAGTCGAGACCGGCCGCCTCCACAGCCCATTTTTTGGGACTTGGTGAAGATGGAAGGGCCATCCGTATAGGGAGCCATGTGTTTTTGAGGCAAAAAAGACGGAAAAAAAAACCGGCACACGACAGTCCATCCCAGCCTACGGATTCCGAACAGCCCAGCGAACAGCTGATATCCCTGTTGCTAGTCGAGTTTGACCTCGTCCACAGCCCATTTCTCGGGCTATGTTGGAGTTGGAAAAGCCATGTAGGGAGTCATATTCTCTTCCGAAAACCATTTTGTCCCACGATAGTGAAGAGAATAGGGAAGAGAGAAAGAAAAAAACAGAAGAGGGGGAGCTTTTAACCTGGAGAAAATAATCAGACCACCAAAATGACGAAAACATCGCAACACTTTCGCGTGACGATAGTTCTGACGCGTTCCTGAAATAATCGAGAAGTCATAATGATGATCTCCCAATAAACAAAACGCTGCCGCACTGGACCTGGCAACTTTCTTTTTACCCCTTGTCCCTAATATAAGCATCATGGATTTCATGCACCGCCGTCAATTTAACCCAGTCTAAACACTACGCTTCCCCACTCTCACCTGATATCCATAATATATTTCCAGGCTCGCAAAACCACGCCGTCTCTTTCGAATATCTCCACTTGAGACGCCGTTTGGGGGTCCGGTGTAAAGTACGTAAGTTATAGCAATGGTGTGTTTGCTATAATATCTAGATATCATAGCTTAGGCTCTTCATCTCGTCAACAACAAAGGGTCTCTCAGAGCACGTGAGGGCGCGAGCTTCACAGGCACGTGACTAGCCTGTTGATTTGTGCCTGGTTGATTTGGAAGGAAGGGTCAGGGGAAATCCCCTTTCGGCAAAGATGATGACGTGTCCGGGCATAGAGCAAATGGTGGTGATATATTATTTACGACTGATTTCTCTTGATTTTTTTTTCTGCATTAGAAATGCATGGCACGCATTGCATGCGTCTGGATTTCTGAGAGACGAGACACCGCCGGGTAACCAACCCTTAGGCGAGGTACAGTACGGCACTGGGACACGAGGGGAAGGGGCCTGGTGCGTGGGGAGCTAATGCGGGGCTATTGTGGTGTGCAGCGCACGGTGCCTTGCATTGGGTGCATGTGGACTACTGGTGCTTTTTGGGGGGGATATAAATACCTTTGGTGTGGTTTTCTCGTCTTGGGTGTGGGGAGGGAAGTGCGTGAATATTGGATTCGGGGTGGATGATTGCGGTGCTTTTATGGGGTTTTGTACTGTTGGTGTTAGTGGAGGCAGGCGACTGGTGATAGATGATATGATAGATGGTGTGCGCGCCCGCTGCCCAGTTTTGACTCTTCATATTAGAAGTCGCTGCTGCCTGCCAGCCTTTTGTCGGAGTTGCCGATGATGGATGTAGGAGATAGATGATATAGCAATAATAAGATGCAAACGAGTAATCGTATCTAGTTGTTCCTGTTAGCCCGCCCTTGCCGCCTCCCCGGCCACATACGATAGCCTCAGCCACGTACGATAGCCTCCTCGTTCTTGTGCTCGTATGATGACATACACACCGACACCGCCCATCCCTCGGTCACCTCCTACTGAATTCCGTGCCTCTCCCCTCGTCCGATCAAACGGCAAAAGGCACCCCGCTAACAGCCTCATCGCCGCACCGAGATCTAGACAAACACCCGTCGGTCAACGATGCTCATAGCCATCGGCCCCACGATGACGCGAACGGCACACTGATCCGGCCGGCCTGGCCAGATCCCCTCTCTGCCAGCACTGGCGTCGACGACGGCTTTGCTCGTCGCCAGGTACGGCGTCGTGCGTACCGCGACCGGCACAGCATTCCCCATGTGTGCCTGTGTATGTACCTTTTGTGGTGGTGTTGTACAGGAAGTAGGTAGCTAGTAGCGTAAGGTACATGCACCCGCCGCGCGCTTCGAGTCATCTGCCCACAGCCAGGAAAGCGGCAGACGAGGCAGGAGCAGCCCAGACCGTCGTGATAATCTAGTAATCGAGTAATCGAGTACTACTCTACTCCGTTATTCTCGTGGAGGGAATGTGCGCAATGTGTGCACGATGTCGATGTCAGCGACGACGCGGGCTCGATTCGTTCATTTTGGTGTGGTTATGATACATTCGTCGTCGACTCTGGTCGGCTGCACGCAGCGGAGGACCCTCATGTCATTGAACTGTCATCTAATGTCATCCCGAAGGAGTGCATGTCATCGTGACAACAACGACAACGACGACGCCCTGTAGAACGACGGTCAGTAAGGGGGGGTTAGATCAGTGATGGTAAAGGAGAGAACAAAAGCAAGGACAGCCAGATTAGACAGACTGAGGGAGAGCCAGAGATAGAGGCAAAGTGGCGATGGTACTACTAAACATATGAGACAATACAGCAGAGTACTTTACACCGGCTCTACCTTGGAGATCCAGTTGAGGGTGTACTTACCAAACGTATGAACGTATGAATATCCAACTCTTAAGTATTACGCCGCAAGAAACAATCCAATCCGCGTTCAGTGTTTGCGACTGCTGGCTGCACATCGTACTGTGTTTGGCATGCTTGGCTGTTGTCTGACTATGTTTGTATACTCAATCATGTATACTCAATCATGAATGGTGCTTACCATAGAATACGATAATGAAATCCCCACCCGGCCTGGCGGTCATTGTCGACGATGATCCAGTGTCATTCGAGTATTTCGAGTCTTGTCAACTTTTGTGGTAGTTGTACCCCCCTAATCCTCGTCAACGCCCCTCGTTCGCTCCTTCCCATACCACCCCTCCTTCATTCTCGTCATCCCCCTCGACCCCCTCACCCCCCTACCACTCCCCTACCACCCCCCTCACCTCCCCCTCATCTTTGCCACGCCTCTTTCCCAGATCTCGCCCATCACCCGCACTTCGCCGTTCTTGGCGCCCTGTCTATCAACACACCCTTTGGGAAACATGTAGGAACATGTAACTCGGAAGGAGTAAAGGGAAAGGGCAGGAACATACGGAAGGAAGCCAGGGAATATAGGGAGCTTACATACAGTACGCATAGAGTGAGGGAACACGGAAACACACAACGGGACTTGCGGAACACAGGCAACTTAGGGGAATATAGGGCTGGAACGTTACCATCGTCGCCGTCATTACCATTACCGACAAACAAAAACCATATTACACATCACCAACTGCCAACAAACAAACTACCAGCCAGTACCAACCAACTCCTCCGACTACTCCTCGATCGTACCTCACTCCCTCCCGTCATTCTCCCTAAGCCGTCCATCCTTGCTCTTTCCCCCTTCTTTGCTCCTTGCCCCTTCCTCCTTACTCTTTGCCACCTTGTTATCAGTACCATCACCACAACTATCACTACTTCCATCACTACCACCATCACCACCAACTTTCTCTGCATTCTTCCATCGTCACATCACATCACCTCATACACGAACCAACAACCTCCCTATCACTCTTCCTGCCCTACCCCTTGGTCCCTCGCCATTCCCCTCGCGGCATCTCCTGCCCTCGCCGCCCCGATCAACCCTTCCCTAGGTGTCTTACGACATCAAAACGTACCATCCTCTATTGCGGTACCTAAGACATCGTTCGACGAGCCACGGTTCGGTGTGCCACGATTGCTGAGACTAAAAACCACGCCGCTCTTCTCTTAAGCCATCCAACTGCTGAGAAATAGAAAAGTGTCGAAGACAGCTGTTGCATTGGATCATTTCATCTGCCCACCTTGCTACTAGCCTACCTATATCTATCTATCTACCTTGCATACCCTACCTCTCCCTTTCCATCCTGACGACATTTTTATCATCTTTTTATTCAAATATCAACCTATTCTGCCATCATTATACATCACTATCCTTCGATACCCACCATATCCGCCATTGACCATCACACTTGCTGTCACGGTACGCTGTATACCCAAACGACAGCAAACTCGGGATAACAACGGCGTTCACGATCGTTGCCTTGCGACCTGCCTCGCCAATCCTTTGCGACTTGCGACCTGCCGCTTGTGACTACGAAACTTGGCTCCTCGTTCATTCCCACCGCTCCGTCGCGACCAACTATACCACCATTCATCCTCATTCTCGGTTCCTGTGTAATGTTGGTGCGCATCACTCCCTCGGCCGAATCAATCTGAAACGTCCAAAACTCGTTGGTGTTCTGACCAACGACCCACCAAAGAAACAGCGTCCCCCACACAGTCCGATCAATCCTTATCGACGGCTCTTCGGACACTGCCCTCTCCCCTCCCCTCCTCCACCACCCCCCCCCCACATACACACCATCATAGCTCTTCCCCACTGCGTCGTGGACAGACGTCGGTCGTCGACATCGCATCCCCTCACCGCCGTCGAAACACCCTCCGTTGAACGTCATTCCACACGTCGAGCCTGTCATACACAACAACTACGGTCAGCCGTAGGCAGGCGCTGACAAAGCTACACTTCATCCCGTACCTACCAACTTCGAGCCAAGGTTGCGCCAGCCCTGGGTTGTGGCCGCTCCTGGTCCCGCGGTTGACTTTGGATATGACAGCCTACACCTACATGTGGCTCCCAACAAAGCTCTTGACCCACTGAACGACAAGTCTTATACCTCAGGAGACGCTCCTCGAGCCTTCGACCTCGTGCCATAAGATCGTCCCATCTCGTCCGGTCGAAGGCGGGATAATCTACACGACCCGGAAGCGAGGCAACCCATTTCCAGCTGGGTGGCGACACAATACATACACCTGGTTATGGCAGCGTTTCAATCTGTCAATGCGGCCTTGACCCCCCCGAGGTCCTTTTTAAAGCAAGAGGACGGGCCGTCGGCCGCAACAGAACACAATGCTGGGCCAAGTTCCGCCGGTCCATCGACGTCGAAACTGGACGATGCAAAGACACCTACCAAGTCTAGCTTCGCGGCCTTACCGTCGCATAATGACTCCAAGGCAGGGGAGCCCTCATCGGCCGCCAGCACTTCGGAGTTCAAGAAGGCCGCAAAGCGCGAGAGCGCACAGTACTCGATGAAGTCGCGAGATTCCGAAGATGTAGATATGGACGACTCGGATGGAGATGATGATGGGTCGGATGAGGATAGCGTAGCTGCGGATGGGACGCGGTCGACGAAAAAGAAGAAATCCCAACGATTTTTCTGTACAGAATACCCACCTTGCAATTTGAGTTTTACTAGGAGCGAGCATTTAGCACGGCATATACGGTTCGTCAAGCTCATTTTCTTTTGGCCATGCGCCAGCGAACCTCGAGGCTAATATGTTACATAGAAAACACACCGGGGAACGCCCCTTCCAGTGCCACTGTTCACGGCGCTTCTCGCGGCTTGATAACCTACGACAACATGCCCAGACCGTTCACGTAAACGAGGATATCCCCGGCGACTCGCTCGCAGCTAGCAGTACGCGGTTCCAACGTCAGATACGGTCCGATCGTGTAAGGCCCGCAGCTAATCGCTCGCGGGCGAGCACGTCGAGCACTCAGCCCGGGCAGCCTCGAGGCCATACAAGGAATTCCCTGTCAGCCTCGAGTATCGGGTCCATCTACGCGGGTCGTGAGGATCCACGTCGCAGGCCGGCGCCACTCATCATGGCCGGCGACCCGCGGTCAAGGGTTTCGTTCGATAGCTATGCGTCTACGGAGGGCCCCTATGTATCGTCGAGTGGCTTCGTCAACAGTGGTTTCAACACTCCTACGTCATCACGGTACTCGGGGGGTTATGACAGTTCGCAGTGGAGCTCGGCCATGGGATCACCAGTCCGCGGCCATTCCAGAACGGCAAGCATGTACTCGGAACGTCGAATGGCTGGTCGCCGCCTATCCGTGCCGTCCTCAGAGAACCCTTTCGGGCCCCAAGGCTTTGGGCCGTCGTCGTTCGGACAGTCAACGCTCGCACCACTGAGCTCTGGCAGCCAGGAGTCCTTCTCGCCATCAGGAAGCATTATGGCAAGCCCAACTTCGTCCGTAGGCTCGTCATGGTCGAGGCGGGAGTCCCTCGCCAGTGCCGCTGATGACTATCGCCGCCGTACGTGGCACCACCCTGAGTCGCAGCCGGGCTTTACTAGTAGGCTGCAAAATGTTATGTCTTCTACCTCCCACCGCCCCACTCCCCCGGCATCAGTTGCCTCCGCAGCCAGTGGTCAGATCACCCTCCCCGGAATCGAATCCTTCCTATCACGTCCTGTGACCCCACCCCGCCGTAACCCCTCGCCAATGGAACTCGACACGCCGACCCGTCCTGAGTACGCCTGGTCTGACGACCGCTCTATCGCTGCTGCCAGACAATGGGACTCTAGCCTTCCACATAACTTTACGCGCCTCGAGATTGCCCAGCAAACATCCCGTCCCGATGATGCCAGCGCCTGGGCTACAGACGCTACACGTGCCGTGCAGGAGCGCGCAGCGCAACAGTCACAAGTGTCTCCTCGCCCCCAGCCGCGCGTAAGTTTCAGCACTACGACCTACCCAGCCCAAGAACCCCCACCCCGGCACCCAAACCACCACATTAGTGCCCCGCCCCTAACTCCGCGCGACTCCAAGAGACAGGGTTGGTATGCGGGACCGTTGCCGCAGCGCCAGCGCCCGTCTCCGGAAGGGGGGTCCAGTAGTTCCGATAACGGAATTCCTGGGACGCCGCGCATGGCGGGGCATGGGGATTACGGGCCCGTGATCGTCCAGCAACCCAGTGGGGGGTGGGACGAGCGCGATCGGGAGGGCCAGCGGGCGGCGGGAGAGCAAGGGGGGCAGATGCGGCAGGAGCAGGGACGAGGTGGAAACGGGCCGGGTCAGGGACAGGGGCAGGGTCAGGAGTTTAAAGGGGGGATCCCGGCGGCGATAGGGCAGGCGTATGCGGCGTACGGGGCCGTGACGTTGCCGCCGCCGGTGGAAGCGGTGAAGGCTGATGATGGGATGTTACGCCTAGAGGCGCTTGTGGCTGTGGCGACAGGGGAGAGTGGTAATAATGCGGCAGCAGCGTATTAGGACGTTCTTGTCCTATTGTCCTAGCTGCCGTGCCACCTCTCCCTCGTCGTCTTGTCGCAGTCGTCCCTTCTGCGTCCCCTGTTAGGGGGCTGCAAAATAGAAGGAGGGAAAGGATTTGTGCAGACGGATGAATAAAGTCAAGAAAGAGGGGGGATATAGGAAAAGGAAGGAACCGGGAGCGGTTCTGGATTCTAAATATGACTTACATGATCCGATCTGGGCACATCCCCCGGCCTCCATTACACGATTTTTTTACAGTGTTTGGAAGAGGATAGGAAGACAGATGGGGTCTGCTTTCCTTGGCCGGGTTTTACACATTAATTTTCCTTCTCTTGGCGTTATGATTTTAACGACCTTGATATTCTCATGCTTGTATTTTTTCCCATATTATTTTTCTTTGGGATAACGAGCCCTCCTCCAACTACGAGTCCCACTTGGTCTGGAACGGACATGGTCGCAACCGCGCGTCAGCTCCGCAATACGTACAATTCACTGCGCTGTACATAACAAATCCCTCCACCTCCGCGCTGGAACCCTCAACCTCAACGCTCCGTCGGTTCTCCCAAACTACACTCGCTTCTCGGCACTTGTATGTTTCCTTTTTTGGGAGGTTTTGGGTTTTTGGCGAAGGTGGTAGGAGGTCAGACTGGGTGGGATTTTAGGTTCTGGGTTTTGGGGGTCTTTCCTTTGGTTTGTCTCGCAGGATTTGGATATACCCAGTTTACTTTCGTTTACGATCGTCCGCCCCTTTCTCTGGGCGAGGCTATAGCTAGGGAGGGGGAATGCATGGGCGTTAATTTGGGAGGAGGATGGGGGTTGGGTGAGGCTGTGGCGTGGTGGTGGTGTGTGTAATGAGGTGTGGGATCAGGTGAACCATCCGGTGATAGTCGGTGCCAAAAGCGCGCGACGGGTATGATGTTATGAAAGGGGCCAGCGGGGAGTATTTGTTAGTAGCATGAAGGTTATGTTGTTGTGGATTAGTATTTGATGGCTTGCGTGCGAGTGTCTGTGTACGTATTTAGTAATCCAAGGCCAAAGTTTGGGATCAAGACCCACGTACCAAGAAAGGTAGTTGTTGCATAGAGATCAAAATCAAAATTTTATATTCGTAGACGTTATGACTCCCCGACTCCAGCGCTTATTGCAATATCGACATCCCCTCGCTACGCATCAATGGCACTTTCACCTTCCCTGCTTCCCACTACTCATCCCCCACTAACCTCACTCCCCCCCTCATCCCCCCCACCCCCTTAATCCCCAACCCCTCCCCCTCCCTCTCTCTCTCCCTCTCCCTCCCCTCCCTCTCCTCCCGCTCCCCCACCAGCGCCTTAAAATACACCTCCGCCGCCACCGTAGCACTATAACTCACCGCCGTCCAACTCCACGCATTCCTCCTCTCATGCTCCGCCCCCGCCGCCACCAGCGTCCTCAGCACCAATAACTGCCCGTTCGCGCTCGCGAAATGGAGCGCCGTGTTGCCGTCTGCGTCTTGTGCGCGCAGGAGCGCTCGCGCGGGGGTGAGGTTGGGTTCTGCTGCTAGTTCTGCTGCGGAGGGGGAGGGGGCGTGGGTCAGGATGAGTTGCACGCAGGTGTCGAATCCGTTTGCAGCAGCGAGCATGAGGGCGTCGCGACCACGACTATCCCGCTTCCCTATCCCCCCCGCATCCTTCGATTCGAGAAGCGCATGCACGATCTCCGCGTGTCCGTTCTTCGCAGCCAGCATAAGCGGGGTCTGGTGGAGGGTATTCAGACTTATCCCCCCTGCTTCGTGGCCCAGGGACAGGAGAAGCTGGGTTATGGGGAGGGAGGGGAGGGAGGCGGCTAGGTGGAGAGAGGTGTTGGAGAGGCCAGGGGGGGAGGGGGTGAGGTCGGGGTTTTGGAGGAGGTGCGGGTGTGTGCGGAGGATGCGGCGGGTTATGGGGAGGGAGTGCGTGTGGATTGCGCGCCGGAGGCGGAGGGATGGATCGATCCTGGAGGGGGTTAGAAGGGGGGATTCTTGAAGGTGGGGGGGGTGAGCGGTGGGAAGGGGGGCGCGTACATTGTGGTTGCGTGATCATTGTAGGGTTTGTGGTGGTTTCTGGGTGGTTGGAGGTGAGCTTGTGTCTTGTGGGTGTTTGATTTCGGAGGATTTGGTGGCGTTGAGTTGTTTGTTTGTGTTTGTGTTGTGTTGTTTATGTTCTGGAGACGTTAGGTGTCGTGGGCTGATTCGGGGTTTGAGAGCTATATTGGTCTTATCGGTTGTTCCCTGGTTGACCCCTTCGTTATCGTAGTAAGCCCCGGCCCCGCTCCCGCCCCCACTGTAGCGAAGGCTCCGCCGCAGACCAAGGTTAGATCAGATCGCGCGACGCTATTTTATAACCCTGAACCAAGAATATGGACGGTGATGAATGATACGATATTTCCAGGGGCAGGGCAGGGCAGGGGATTTCTTCAAAACCTCAAACTCTATCCCCGCATTCTAATTGTGAAGTGAAATCGTGGGAACACTTGGTGGGGGGTTTTGCCCTTAACCTTTCTATTTTTGGCACAATTCACTGGTCGCACAAACGTTCTCATAAACGTATGATGGTAACTTACAACAGTTTTGGGTTCTTTGGAGATATGTTCATAGGCACGGTTTGGGAAATAGAGAGACTTCGTCATGAATAATATCAGGCGTCACATTCCCACGAGATCTACGTTGAACGCAAAATATGCATCCCTATATTATTTCTCGGAGTCTAAAGGGGAATTTACAGATCAAAGACGGATACACGATTAAAACGACAGTATATATTATGTCCAAGCTCCAGGACCATGAATATCTGTTCTTCACGCTCTAGAAACCATACACCATCAACACCACCGTGATTATTCTTGCAATTCTGTCACCGCTATCATAGTGCTGTCGTTGCAACCCTGCTGTCGTCGTTCCACCTCCCGCTGTCACTGTCGTCAGATTTCCCTGTCACCGTCATGATCCTGCCGCCGGAGCAAGGTCACATCTTGACCTTCTCCTTGGTTGACGAGTTCTCTCAAAATTATATTCCTGTTACAGCCAAGGGAGCGAACCCACATGCTGGCTGGGACTCGTTTAAATGGCAGATGGCTAATAAGAGAGATTCATGGGTCTTGAACTTACCTTTATATATGATGCGAGGCTCATCACACATGTATTACTGAATTCAGGCAGCTTCCGGTACGAATGTGGGTCGTTTCGTAGAGGGTGGTAGGTGAGTTTTATGAGTTGGTGTGAATTAGAAACTATCCCCTAGTGTTTTACCATACCTTAGAATATTTCTGGCCCGTATCTAGATGCTCGAAGTTCAGATGAATGATAGCGTGTGGTTGAACAAGTGAGGTACAACCTTCACAAATCTGAAGGCAGTCAATAAGACGTCACAAAGATGCGCCGAAAAACGACCTGGTTGAAAGCCACTGCATTGTTGGAAACTAAACCTCATCCCAACCACAAAATCCCACGCATCACCATGGTCCTCAACCTCCGCCGCCGAAAAGCAACCCTAAAATTACACTCCCCCCAAACCCTCAACGCCCTTTCCCACATCCCTTTAAGAAAACAAAGCAAACGCCCTCCTTCCCCCTCCACGCCCTACATCTTCACAAACCCCTCATCACAAATCCGCCTTCCCCCCCGTAACCTTACTAGCCTGCACCGCGCTCATTTTCGCGATCCAGCCCTGCGCGGGAAGGAACTTGCGCACGGTGCGGATCTCATCGGACGCGTAGCCGGGGATGCGGATGTTGTAGTTGCGCTCGAGGATGAGCTGGATGTCGCGGATCTCGAGGGTCTTGGAGCCGCGCGCTTTGGCGCACTTGCAGGCCGCTGTGATGACTTGGTCGACGAACTCGTCGGCGACGGAGAGGACGCACTGGGGTGGGTGGGTTAGCTGGTGTGTGTGGGAGGGGGATGGGGTGGTAGGTTGGGGGATGTGTTGTGGGAGGTGAGAAAATTGAGGGGTTGGTGGTGATTTAGGGTAGATCGGGCAGTATTCTGAATGGAAAAGCAAAACTCACATCTTCAACCTCCGGCGTAAGCCCCTCCGAATTATCCAACCCCTCCCCCCCGCCCGTAACTTGCCTTATAAGCTCATCCAGCTTCCGTTTATTAAGCACCCTCTCGGCATCCCCCTCCACATTAAACCCCGGCGCCTTCTGCATAACAGGCTGCTGCATAAGCCCACTCCCACTCCCCGACGGTCCCCCCGAATACGTCGGTCGCGTAGGAGGCATCTGCATCGGATGCGGCGACTCCGTCGCTCTCGGCGGAAGAATTTTCGGAATCGGCATCAGGTTCGTCTTTATATTCGGCGCGTCGCGAGGAAGCGAGGGGGGGTGCGAGTGGCTCGCCATCACGCTCGCCTGTCCCGTGCTAGCCTGGCTACTGGAATACGTGCGAGCAGCGTGCGCTACTGCATCAGAGTGCGTGAGTGGCTTGGGGGGCCCAACAGACGTTGCTTGGGGGGGGACGGCGGATTGTGGTGAGTTCTGCGCGGGTTGTTGACGGTTCTGCATCTGCTGGATGTGCGGGGCTGTTGCGAGCGCGGTGTTCACATGGGGAAGGCCGCCAGGAGGAGCAGTCGCACTTTCCGTTTTTATGGCCGCACCACCACCTTGCACATTTTGCGCTGCGGGCATGCTGGCCGCGTTTGCTGCACCTATTGGTTGACTCTGGTTTTGTTGTTGCTGTTGCTGTTGTAACTCGTTCTGCTGGTTTGGGGGAGGGGCACTGGGACGGCCGCCGTTGACTTGCTGGTTTCGCCCTGCTTGCATTGCGGCCTGCACTGCTTCGGTTTGCGCCATCGCCTGGCTCTGTGCGGGCTGTTGGGTGTTCATTGTTGGGCGGGGAGGGATTGCGATGCCCTGCGGTGGGTGGGAGGGTTGCTGCTGGGCCTGCGAGCCACCTGCTGCTTGTGCTGCTGCATCCGATTGTTGTCTCCGGAACTGATCAACGAAGCGCTTTGCATCGCCGTGGTTCTTCTGGAACGCCTCCTTCTTGATTTGTAACTCTTTCTGCTCTTCTGGCGTTAAGGGTTTCCCGCCCTGTGTCCTCACAGCCACCTGCGCCTCAAGTCGTTTGACTCCACTCGCCGTGTTCTCCATCGTAAGAAGCGCCTTCAGGTATTTTCCCTTTATCTCTTGAATCCACTGTGCCGCCTCTGCAGGACCTAAGGTTGATGGCGCAACGTATGGGAATGAATTCACATGGTTCCGCATGTTTTCGGATACAGGTGGTCTCGCTGGGGCAGTTTGGGCGGTGGGCTGAGGCTGGGATGGAGGTGCAGAACCATCAGCTTGAGATTGCTGTGAAGGAGCCTGACTAGGTGGTCGCTGCTGATTTGGGTTGACCTGTGGTCGATTCGCAGTCGCCTGCATCTTATTGTGTAGAGTGACGGAGAAGTCGCGGATCTTCTTTGCCGCATCGCGATGCGCCTGGGTGTCGGGCGGGTTCGCCTCTATCTGCCTGTATAGCATGGCAAGGCCATTTTCCCACTTCTTCTTCTCTTCTATACTGAATTTATCGGGAAGCGCGCGCATGTGCTCTGGCTTGAAGAGCATACGAGGTTGTGCCTGTTGCTGGGGCTGTTGCTGCTGGGGAGGCTGTTGGAGAGACTGCTGGGGTGATTGCTGGGGTGGCTGCTGCCCTTGGGGATTCTGGAAGCCGTTCATTGTCGCTGTCTGATAGTATGAATTCTATGTGATAGCGAAGTGAATAGTTTGGGTTGTTAACCCCGGCTCATCTGCGGCAGTGATTTAATGTCGAGAAATGAAGTTCGATGGTCTCACGGCCTCTCGCCATCGCGGTATCTCGATGGAGCTAAACTACATACAGCGACTAAGCACTCACCGCCTTTGGCTCCAAGTAACAATTCAAATGGCAACCGCGGCAACAGTCAAACAGCGCATATATCATGTGCATTGGATCATAACTTGGGTATCAATTCGTATATATTAAAGAAGCGTCAACAAATGAGCATTTGCTGATGTTGTGTTGAACGCGGTGCACCCACACCCCGCACATTGACACGTATCATCGCAGCAGCCCCCCAAGGTCCCTCTCCATCCCCGACACCCGCTCCTCCAGCTCCCTCTTCTTCCTCTCCAACTCCAATATCTCCTCCTCCTCCAGCCTTATCAATTCATCCGTAATCACCGCATCATCCGCATCATCCCCCTCCTCCTCCTCCTCCGCCACATCCTCATCCAGCCCATCCCCATCCCAATCACCCTGCCTATTCATCCTCTCCAGCTCCCTCGTCTGTTTCACAACCTTCTGCTCATAATGCTGTAAACTCGTCTGTATCCTCGCATACCTCGACCGTAGCTGCGCAATCCTCTCCCTCGCCCCCTCCATCACATACACCTCCCCCAGCTTCTCCGCCCCCCTCAGCAGCACCTCCACATCCAAGTCGCCCTTCTGCACATTCTCGCTCTTCCGGATCTCCGAATTCAAGTCCGCCCCCAGCACAGCAGCGACCGCTGTATTCCGCCGCGGCGCGCGAGAGGTTGTGGACGCGCTGGAGACGACCTCGCCGCCGGCGACGTTGAAGACGGTTTGGCGCCGCGAGGCGGTGCTGGCTGCGGTGGGGTCGGGGTAGATGGAGGAGTCGCGGGGGGGTGGAGGGGGAACGGAGAAGAGGGCGCGCTCGTGGGGCTCGGTGTCGCGGATCAGAGCTGTGATGTCGTGGGACGCGAGGAGGGCGTTGGTGAAGATTTTGGGTGGGGGGAATCTAGGGGGAGTGGTTAATAAGGCGGGTCGGTCTTTGGTGTTGGGGAGTTGGGGGGGTGGAGTTGTTTTGGCACGTACGGGAGGGAGGCGATGGATTGGGCGGATAGGGAGATTTGCTCGAGATGGTTGGAGAGGAACGACATGTTTGTTGAGGGTGAGAGGTGGGAGGTGAGAGTGATACGTGGTTGTGGTGAAGGGGGGTGTTCCCTGACGGGTCAACAATGGGAAGGTGAGGAAGGTGAGGAGGGAGACGCGGGGCAGTGGACGCGATTTGTTTGCTATCGTGATAATCGGCAACAAGGGCAATGTAAGGTACAACGAACATGTAGTACTTGGGCGTATATGGTATGTACCTTACTCTTCAGTAACAGGTAACTTTGCTTACAGTACTGGAACACGACATGACTGTATAGCATAGTATAGTTACACATAATAGTTAATAGTTATACTGTTCAGTCACATATATATATTATAGTTATACAGGCACAATTATGCAGTGCAGTCGCTGGTACTCTTCAAATACATGCTGCTGTGGACGACAAAGGCACTGTTTCATGACGTGCGCCAATCACCGCCGCCCCAACCGCCGAACCACATATTCGGGCCTCGATTGAGTTTTGAGATTTGTGATTTATCGTATTATGTATTATCGTATTATTTCCTTAATTTCTTAAATATACTACATACGATACATACGCGTCTTATTGTTCATGCCCATCTATATATATCTCCATGAGACGTCATAGCTGAGACGAGGAGATTGAGACTGGCGTGCGTGCGTGCGTGCGGCATACGTGGAATGTGTGTGGAATTCGATTCCCGAGAGCTGCTTGTGAGTGAGTGTCTGTCCTGTGCCTGTGCTGAGTTTAATGCCCCAATCCACCACCAACCACCACCATATATCACCCATTCACCCACGCACGCCCACGCCGCTGACGGACTTATATCACTTTTAAGCGCCGGTTGGGCAGTAAACCGGTAAACCCACACCAAACTTTCATCGACGCCATCCATCCCACGATATCATTCCATCCACTTCCTTCCCTTGTGTGATTCCCCTGTGCGTGAATTTGTGTGTGCAGAGTGCATAGAGAGCCTCCTTCATTCAGCCTTCAGATCCCTTAGGTTTATTAGGTCTAAGTGTTCTGAGTGACGCTAGGTGACGCCGGGTCACGAAAGGCGCGCTCGTCCTCTCATGTCTTCGCCCGAAATTGCGCTTCTGACAACGCACTTCACTTCGCTCACAGACATTATAGCTGGGTCGTGATATACCTTGATGACTATACATGGCCATAACCATGACCATAGCCACGACCGATACGGAGTATACTCCCTCCTTACTTTGTTTGCACTCTATCATGCACAATCACGCCACGGTCCGATTTGCCAGCCAGCACGCACACACACACACGCCCACACGCACGCACGCAGCAGTGGGAATCAAAATTAAAATCAAATGCTGTTTAGCTGTTAATTGTATTCCCGCATGCGGCCAAGATTGTGGGCAAAATGGATCAAATGGGTGCCAGTGCCACAGAAACCAACCTACACAACCTGGCTGCTGCAGCCGCAAGAGAAAAAAAATATGTGTGGTGATTTCCCATCTGGCTGTGTTGCTGCCCGACTCCAAATTTCCCCATGGAAGCTTTTTTTCTCCCTCGCCCCCTTCTCAGCCATTGCAACCCGACGCTGCGGTTTCATACCGTTGCTTGGTGCCTTTTGGTGCCTCTTGCTGCATTTTACTGCATTTTACTACCTCCACGACCCTCCATGAACCTCCACGAGGGCCCTCTTTAGATAATGTTAAGTACTGTATTATCTGTATCATCTGTACTATAACGGTACTAATGAAGTCAACCCCTGGCTCTTTGATTAAAGATCATACCAACAGCGGCTCTCCACGATAATCATTACCACGCACACAAGGGCAGGTGCGCCGAAACTGACAGGTTTTCGCGTTATATTTATCCACAACTCTCCCACCCACTTTATCTGACCCCTCCGTGCTTCCTTCCTACCCTTTCCTCCCACCTTCCACCTTCCTCCCATTCCTCCCGACTGAAACCGTCCGCTACAAAAAGGTTCCTCCTCCCCCTCACCTATACCTCTCCTCATATATATACATCCGTATATATATACACATATATACCCATATACATATATTTTATATATACTGTACCTTTCCTCGGCCGTCGACTGCCCACCTCCTTCCTTCCCGTCAGCAATCAAAGCAATCAATCTGAAAAAAAAAAGAGTGGTGGCCACGACCCCTCCTCTCCCACCAGTCCAATACCCGACCACCACACTCTTGCCTGGAATTCCGGCCGCCGCCCTTATTACCTTTCCTTATCCAAGGAAGATCACCTCATAGTATCCTCGAGAAAGCCCCCTAGAGAGAGCTCGAGCGTCTTACGTGCAACATCTATCCGTTTACTTCTTATCATGAGCTGCAATTCCCCTCGACTGGATTCTCCTCTGTGGAGAGACCTTCATACCCTATCGCCGTCACGACCGATAGTACCAACAACCCAACCCGCAAACCACCCAGCCTACTCCAACGCCGACGACGCTTACACATAAGAAGTCCCCAAAATGTCATCCTCATCCGATTCCTCAGACTGGGACTCCGACTCCGACTCCTCGGACTCCCAGCCCAGCACCCCCAACGTGCGTTTCGCGCGCCGCCCCACGGTTCCCTCCTCACCGCCCGAGACACCCACCACCTCTTCCTTCCCGCTTGGCGAGCCTCCCCACCCCGCCTCTCGCCCCGGAATACGCAATTTCTCGCGGCCCCTCCCGCCGACCCACGACGAGATCCGCCCCGTCGGCCAAGGCCACAACTTCACCTACATCCCGCAAGTGCGACTCGAGGACCTCAGCCCTCGCTCCTCCACCTCCTCCTCCTCGCGCTCCTCCCGCTCAAACAGTCCCGCCCGCTCCATCGACAGCGACAGCGACAATGAGCACCCGACCATAACCCAGCACGCCTCCATCCAATCCCCGCTGCACCACAGCACGCGCAGCCTCATCCCAGCGAACTTCACACTCTCCTCCCTCCACGACACCGACTCAGACGACTCAGACGACGACGACCTCTCCGTCATCCTCCCCGACCACTACAGCGACGCGGCCTCCTCCCGCGGCGCCCCCTCCGAACACTCCTCCTCCTCCTCCACCTCCTCCCAACACACCCCCCCCACCCCCTTCCCCGCCGACTCCAAAGCCACCCGCCTCGCCGACGAATTCGAGCTCCTCGCCTGCGCCCCCCGCGACGACCACGACGCCTGGATGAGCAAGCAGCGCCTGCTCAAGCGCATGAAGCGGCTCAGCTCGGGGAGTATACATAAGCGCACGCTGAGCCAGAGTATTGGTAGCGAGACGGACGACGAGGATATCAAGCCGTATGATGCGAATGAGATTGGGGCGAGCGCGAGCGGGCTGAGGAGGCTGAGGAGGAAGACGGGGGAGCGCTTGAGTCTTATTTTCGATGATCCCCCGCAGAGGATTGTGGAGTGTGAGGAGCCGGAGAGTGGGGAGGATGAGGTGGTCCAGGAGAGAATCCCGGATATGGAGGAGATGCTTATGTTGGCGCTGCCGTATTATGAGATGGATACGGATATGGGGTATTAAGAAAACGAAATACCCCACTACTGCCCGAGCCCTGGTGGCCTGATGGCACAAAAAGCACACGATCAATGAATGACGGTGCAAAATGATTTTATGGAGGATTTTTAACGAAAAGTTTACGGATGGATGGATGGATGGGGAAAATGGCGGTTATGATCTTGGGTTAGTTACGACAAATAGAAATGGGGTCTCTCGGCGGCGCATTTTGGGAGGGGGAAGGCGGGGGGGTCCTCTCGACATCAGCGATTTGTCGAGGGGCTTATCGGAGGAGGCGGCTTTTGTCTATTTGTTTGTCGTTTTTGGTTTGATGATGATGCATAGCGACATAGCATATAGAATCTTTGGGTATAGAAGCAAGCATCTGGGATTGATACCCGGGTGCAAGTAGTTAGACAGCAATTGAGCGGCTTTGAATTTTTATTGTGGTTTGGGCGGGGGAACTGCTTGTGGTGTGCATGTGCTCGCTCTTGTTGAGTCATGGTGAGGTCAGGTCTGCTTGCCAGAAGCAATTATCATTACAACGACTCGCAATTACAAACTCTGACGTTTTGAGGCCAAAATTTCTCTATTTTCATCGGCTACTTAAGGTCGCCTCGCGCCCATGAAATATCTCTCTCGACATCATCTCAAATATATATATACCACACTTCCCACTTTCTTTCTTTCTTTCTTTTTCAGCCTCCTGCCTACAGCTAGCTAGCTATCCACAGAACAGCTCCAGCTCCGAACAGACCCAACTCCGGGCCAGTCCGTCCGCCAAAACCCACACCAAAGCGGAAGCTAGTTTTTAGTGCTGTTCCTGGCAGGTGCTGGTTGGCTATATATAACTATCCAGTGGCTTTTCCCCGTCGACAACAACGGTTGGTCGACATCTTATACATATATATACATCACATTTTTCAAAAAAAAATTAACATAACTATTTTCAGTGTTGCCCGAGTACTACT